AAGGGCCACAGGTGTTCCTGATATCAGACACCCTTAAACCAGGGACGATATAGGAAGGGCATTACCTAGGTGAGGGTGAAAACACTGGACTATTGCTCAGTGGTCCAAAGTCCTCTTGACAGCTGTGGGTAAATTTTGACAAATCGTTTGAACATCAACGTCCCAGAATCTCGAGGGCAAGTAGAGACGCACAAGTGACGAAGTATGAAGTTTCTGCGGTGCGTGATGATCTGCAGTGCCATGTCATCTGCTGATGTTTGTCTACTATGTTTCTATCAAGTCCAGATTCAACGCAGCCTGAAGTCTATCGGGAGATTTTAGACCCCTTCATGCGTCCATCTGCTGAGAGGTTTTATGGAGATGCTGATTTCCTTTCCCAGCTGGACTTTGTACCTGCCAAAACTCTTAACAAATTTACTGACCATGTTATTACTGTACTCGGTTAGCCAGCCAATTCACCTGATTTGAACTCCACTGAGAATCTGTGCGGTATTTGTCAAGAAGAGAAAAGAAACTCCTGACTCAAAAACAAAGATGTGCTGAAGATAACTCTCAGAGGATATCCCTGGGGACATGAAAATGGTCAAATCTAGTGAAAAACATATATTAAGAGACAATGGTTGCCATCGGTGTGGAAAGTAATATGATGCAATTTCTTTGTCTGTGATTTGTGGACATTGTTAACAAGCACCACATTTTAGAGTAAAAACAAAATAATATTTTTCCTGTATAGTCTGAGAAATGTCAGTCTGGACCTGGGTTTGAACTGCCTGACCAAAACACATCCACAAGACCATGAAGCTTGTGAGGCCATAACTATCTGACTCTTTTTATCAAACAAACAAAATGAGGGAAGATGAGGACACCAGAATGCTTCTCTTCTTTTGCTCATCAGCTCATATGCTGTTTGTCTGACTTAGTGCAGATATTAACAAACAAAGAAACTATTTGTCTGTAGATTTTACTGTATATTTCACAACCAGGTCAATATTACAGCTTCTACTGTTTGCACTAATGAGGAGACACTGAATGCATGAGTCAACTTTATTGGCAAGGGATGGTGAAATATGCAAGTAATTATACTCTCTTTCTCAATAAACTTACTCATACCTCAAATCACTGAGGTGGTTTATTGGCCGTGCAGTACAGATGTTCTTATGATGAAGTAATCCACTCAAAGTTTAAGGAAGAAATTATGAACAGTGGCAAACCTTTTAACAATAGAAGCAGATTTTGTTTCTTATCTGAGGTTTTCTCCAAGAGTTGAAATTACTGGATGTCCTATCCTAAAAACTATCAACTTGTGTACTTATGTCCTGTTAAAGGTCCTGTCTTATGTCATGTTAAAGCTACAAAAATGAATTGGTGTTGGTTTGGATTTTAATCAAGTACAATCATTTCTGTTCTTCCACAGTGTTCTTGAGGTTTAAGTGTGGAATGAACTTTTTTATGACATTTTCACATCGCTCATCAGTTCTGTACCGCTGCCTATGTCAATAATATGTTGTGGTTTGTTGTTGCTTTGTGTCAGTTTTCTTCAATTTGCTTGATGTCTCTTTCATTAGACTTCTTGTGTGTTTGAACATGCCCCCCCCCCTCCCAAGTTTCTCCTCAGTCTTCCTCCTTACATCTTTCTACTGCTGACTGTCTGGCATTATCCACAAATCTTAATTTTTGTGTCCACCAAATAAGTTGAGAGATAAAATTTGAAATCTTAAAAATAGCATTTTTACAAAGTTTCAACAGTAAAAGATGAAATCATGAGCTTTAGGCATGACTCCTCTCCACAGATTGATGTGTGTGATTTGGCATCACTCTTGTCATTCAGAATTACTTAGAATTGTTTTGGGTTTTGACCAATCAGAATCAAGTATTAAGCAATGCCAAGTGATAATTAAGAAAGCCTGCGATCATTTCCTTTAATTTGTTCTGAGTTGTGAATAACCAAACTTTTGATTAGAGCACTTTCATATATACTGAAGCTGAACTTCTATCTGCAGTCCAGGCTTTTTACAAAACCAGTGCACTCAAAGTAGAGGGGAAAACAGCTAAAATAAAAACCTAACAGAAAGACTGCTTTTCAAAATACAGAGGTGTGTGCAAAACCTTGCCACTGAAAGAAAGGCTGTTTTTAATAGAGCTTAATGTTGTTTCAAATATCCAGAACTAGTGTAAAATGTAGTGTGTACAGTGTACTAACTGACAGGGGATTAAAGAGAGTATCCACTACCCTCTTTTCTAAAAGCCTCCAGCTCCACTGAACCAGGAACCTGAAACCTTGAAATATAAAACACACAATAGTACAACACACTCTCCAACCCTAACAGAGACCCTGGAGCTCTAACATACTGTATAATACTGGAGGCTTAAACATTTTGGTGTGGTTGCACAATAGTTGCATGAGAAGGAGATGTTTTTACACCTTATTTGTATCACAGTGTAAGAGATGCATGTACTTTAAATCACTTATATATTGAAGTCTTTTTATTTCTGCAGCCCTTCAAGGTGAAGTTATTGTAGGTATAAAACCTGATACTAACAATATTTATACTAAAGTGCGCAACCTCGAGGTAACAAACCTGACTTTCCAGGAAGTTAAACAAGAGCTGAAAAACATTTGTGTCAAACAGAAAAGAGTAGCACAGTGTATCCCAACTGCTCTGATGGAGGTTTTTGTTTATTTTTGCCTCTGGGAGGGTAATAATTTGTTGAAGGGAAGTTTTTATGCATGTGAGAAATGTGAAGCACCTTAAAACTCATCTTTTATTTATAGCAAATCTTTTGAGACCTACTTGGTGTCGACTCCTGTCTGGTATTTGTCAGTGTGTTACTACATCGGCTGTGAGATATTGTTGAATATTAATGTGTAAGTAAAGCAGACCTACAGGGGGGTAATGGGGTAAATGACAGTGTCATTATGCTGTTAATGCCCGAGGGTTGAAGCATTGCATTAGAATACAAGGACATGCGCTGAGAAAGGCAATCGCACTGAGTGTAATGGTTTCTTGAATTAAACTGTTAGCATATTATTCCAGGACAATAGATCAGGCGCGGGGGCCTTGGGGCTTTAATTAAGACACTAAAGCAATCAAAAATACATAATGTTAGACAAATGGTTAAAATACAGAGCAGACTCTGTGAAATTAAATACTGCACATATTACTCTATTTATGTAACGTTCTGTCATCTGCACAGTAGTTTAAATGTTATTTCATAGCAGGTAATATATAAGCTAATGATGGAACTCCTTTTTTTAATAAAATTTGCTACACCAATGCATTACTCATAATTCTCAGGGCTCCCGAAACACGACTAAACCAGCTACTTTATTCAGAAAATGTGGCCATGCGGTCCTAAGAACAGCTCCATCCCTGTGAACTTATTTCAAATACCTTAGGAGAAGTTTTTATTGAACAATCACATACTCATGGCTAGGCTTTTGACCGAGCTGACACACCTCTTGAGATGGTGCCAGCAGATAAAAACAAGATGAACAGGAAGTAAAGTTCTGGTAGATTGAAATATTTCCTGCTGAGATTGTTGTAAGCCTCTTTCACAACAATACTTGTCTGTCATTTGCAAGAAATTGTCTGGTTATGAAATTGGCTTTTCCATTTTGAAATGCAAAAAGTTATGTTGCTTTTCTTTTCTTTTTTTGGTTTTCCTATTGAAATTAATCCTGCCATCTGTCAACAGTAAAATGTGTATTTTCTGAGGAAAATGTAGACATAAAGGCTGTTCCTTGTCTGACACTGTTCTGGTGGCAGCAGTTACTAAAAATAATTAGGCCCGTATAGCCAGTCTTGCTGTTTTTATTTGCTTTTCATAGTATTTCATGAGTAGACGGAGCACATTGATTACCACGTCCACTGGCATGTAAATTTGTCAGATTGTTGCCATAATATGCACCTGTCCTCCCTGGCAGGTACATGTGGTACATATGTATAGTATATGTGGTAAGATGTATAAACGTACCAAGCAATACAAAAGCAAAAGCCACACATGAACTGTAATTTTTTTCACAGAGACCAACATATATCAGTGCATAAGGTGACAGGATGAGTATGATCAAGAACAGGGTTAGAGTTAGAGCTAAGGTAACAGGTCGTACTCAGCCTCTTTGAGCCAACTTCAGGCATCTGTATTAATTTAAAGGGATATTCCAGCGTAAAATTAAGTTAGGGTCAAACACATCATAACACCTAGTTAGACACCCCGTCGAGAGATGAATGTTGCTAACCGCTTGCTTCTCGAGTTATACCAACTTTAGTAACGACCGCACGATAGCAATACAGAGAGCCACACGCTCAACCAAAACGCCACTCTATAGCCATAAATAATGCTCAGAACAGCACCTAACTTCATCAACAGTACATATAGGGTCCCAGTCATAGTACTAGCCAGCAAACATCTTTTTAGCTTTGCCCAATTTCCTCTAGCAAAGAGACTAAACACAACTCACCCACTCTCTTCCGCTTGTTTGTATGGAGACCTCCGGGCGAGTCCATGGACTGCAGCGGGGTGACGCAGCTCAAGGAAGAACATGTTAGTAGTAGTTCTTCTGCCTTGGCGTCTAACTCGGTGTTACAGTGTGTTTGACCCTAACTTAATTTTACGCCGGAATATCCCTTTAAATCTGTTTCATAACCATCTTAAAACTCCTAATTGAAGCTACAAGTAACCAGCACTGAATGGGTACTTGTTTCATCAACGCTGTGACCGACTTGGTGCTCTCTCAGACACAGAATGAAATCCTTGTTTAATATTTTTCATAGGTTTTTAATTTGAGTATCAGCTGCTGCTTTTTCTCGTCCATATATTAACTGCACGAGCTTCCTCAAAGGTTCATCTGTGAGGCGCGCGCTCCCACTGCCCTCGGCCCCCTCGGTGTGGCGCGCTCCCGTCTCTCTCTCTCTCTCTCTCTCTCTCTCTCTCTCTCTGACAGTCCGCCTGCTCTCACGTGTTTTCTGTGTATAAAAGGCTACCAGTCTCCACACATCATGGCCAATCTGTCGCCAGACAAACGGAGGAAGATGGAGTCTGCACTGAACCAGTTGAAGAAACACACCGTGGTGGTGGCGGACACGGGAGATTTTAACGGTAAATGAAAAACCGCTCCGCTCGACTTCATGCTAGTGTTAGCACGTTAGCATGCTAGTTCACTGACCGGGAAGTATCCAGGTTTAATGTGAATGACCGCCGTGGCGATATCACGCAGTTTAGTGGGCGTGAAATGTTAACAGCAGTGCATTCAGTCACATCGGCTAAAGTGAGCTTGCTAACTTTTAAGCTAACCAGCGCTCTTTACAGTTTTCTGCTACCGTAAATTTTGTAGTAAAGTTCACTATCTGGTAATCCACTTAGTTGTTATTAAGGGTACCAAACTTAGTAACAGCAGCTCTGGTTTGCTACATTAGCTCACTAACATGGCGACTTTTCTCATTCAACAGAGACAGCCAAACAGAGCACAATGCTAACTTGCGTTTTTTAAGCTTGTTAAAATAGTTTAATATGAATAATGTGGTTGTTAAAATTGGTGGCTTGACGCTGAATAAACACTCAATAAGTGTTAGATTTAAGACATCTAGATTTAAGACAGATCTAAGACAGTTAGATTTTTCCTTCCTCGTTCGTCCACTTCCCACAACAGGTGAAAGGCTCATGTTTCTCAATGGGTCAGAATGAGGAACTGTGCGACATAATCCTGTGGCATTATGATGAAAAAACCAGTTACTTCCTCACTCAGGGCCTTGCAGAGTCAGGATGACATGACAGAACTGGTCTGCTGCTCCTGCTGCCAGACGCCACTGTGTAAGCTGATAATATTACACTCACCTGTTCCACAGTGAAGCTGGTGAATGCTTTTAAGAGATAGTGTCTGGACAGCACATTAATACAGTTATCACAAGTACACTTTTCATGTCAATCCAGCATAGTAAAAAAAAAAAAAAATCTGAGGCACTTGAAGAGGTTATCATACAAAAGTTGAAATCAAAAGGGGAAAAAAGTGACGCTTAAAAACCAACAACACATAACACACACTGACCAGTGGCAAAAGTATATGCTCTGTACAAGTATGATCTTTGGTACACCTGTTGTATTGGATTGCCAAGGTGTTTTTAGCATTATGTCTTGGGGTTTGGGTCATAGTACTGATAAGCCAATATGTTGGGTTTTGTGATACAATTATGCTGGTGCGCAATATCTATTTTTAAAAAAGTGTTACAGCACTCTTATTTTCATATGTCTTGCTGTATTTCTACTTTGTAACTCCTTGTGGCTGTGCTAAAACATTTATCCTACAGTTTACCTGGTGCAAAGTACAGTATGTGGCATATGGCAGAATTCAGCAGAGGTAGAAATGTGTTTTAAATTGGTGCCTGATCACCTCAATATAGTGTTCTTTCTTTTTTATTAATTGTGATTAAGCCTTTTTATATCTACATAAGAGCAGGTTTGCCTCCACAGAGGTCGCCATCTTGCATCTACATGTTACACTGCACAGAGAAAACAAACCTAAAACATACACAGTTTTGTATGGCCATGTGAAATGTGCCATTTGGAAGATGAGGACAAAATAGAGGAATAAGAGAAGGGTGGTGGTGGTTGTTATGCTCAGAGAATTTGTATTGATAGAAGTTTTTGATAGTGAAATTTTCTAAGCGGAGGGACATTTTTTGCATGGGTTTTTGGACCGAGGCCTCTTCAATGGGAGAGTGAGCAAGGTTGCATTTCAGTCTAGCATCTGATTGTATAACACTGCCTACTATTCCTATGTTTATATGCCGTACCTGAAAGAATTTTTATCCTTCATTTACTCATTGATATATCGTATACTCATCTTGTAATTTAAAAATCTATTGTATTTACTTAGTTTTTTTATATATAAATATAAAACAAAGTTCTTAGAAGGGTTAAAATACTCATTAAAAAAAGCTATTTATATTGCAGCAGGTAGAGTGTTCGATCGTAATTCACCATCCAAGAGCTTGACCAGCAAAGGCCTTGAAGCCACAAGTGGGGCTTGACTAATTTCCAGTACAGCTGCATTCACCAATCCCACAGTGTGTTTCAATGTCATTGTGTCTTTGGAGAGACTGCACATGAAGCAAGTAGTAATTCTAATAAATTATGCATCTGTGAGGAGTGCCGTATGTAATATCATACGTAAAGACATTAAATGCAACATGCTGGCTTACACAGTCCTAACAGTACACTGGAGTTGAGCAAGCAACAGAGCAGCTTTTACAACACACATTCTTTGACACATTATTCACACTTAAGTAGATTCATGCTTGAAAAGAAATAAACCACAACTTTTAACCTGACAGTGTTAATAAATTCACTTAACAGAAGTACGAGGGAGCTTAAAATAAGGTTTAAAGCATAGGGACATAAAGTTAACAGTGCTGCTAATTCTGACTAAAATAAAACTCTAAAGGACCCCAAAGTTTCCCCTCAACAGCAAGTGTCTAGTGTTAAAAATGTAAAGATAAAACTTGATGGACCTAGAATATAACCTTAAAGAGGCCTGCTTCTAAAAATGTTTGCTTCAGTCCAGTTTGTTCAGTAGTCATCATTGTACAGGGTAACGGTATCGCACTACAGCACATGTAGACAGCGGCAGCATTTAAGGCAGTCCAATAGTGCTGTTGAATAAGAGTATGTTTAAAAGGTGTCTTTGTTTGTTTAGCTTAAAGATTGCCTGAAAGCAAACAGTCTGTGGATCAGGATTCCCAAAGGCAGGTGTTTGTTACTTTACTCCCTTTTTAAAAAAAAATAATTTCAAGTCAAATATCTCACCATTTAGGACAGTAATACAGAATCCAGTCAAACTTCAGATTTTTCATCACTTAGGTTTGTACAACACAAAGTTAACTTTGGGCTTCCTACAAGCTAATAAAAGGAATAATTAAATTTTAAATACATGAAGTTAAAAAAAATCAGGAGTCAAATTTACTGAGAAGAAATGATCAGTGGACTGAACCGGCCACTTTCTCTGATTTCATGAACAAACAGTGAGAACAGATATGAGATACGAGCTTGCAGTGGAAATTTTAAAGGTTGCCTCTGAACAAACTGAGCTGGGTGATCACAATTTCTCAGCCTTTTTCCTCTCAACCTCCTCCATGTTAACATTTTCTGCTCCCATGCACTGATCCAAATATTCAGTCAAAACAAGCCACAACTTCAGTGAATACCTCTGTCATTCTAGGGTCATTTTAGAACAAACCAGTGATAGTGAAGACAGTCACCAGACATTTGCACAGCCACTGGCTTCCTCTTTTCAGGCTCTTTTTAGTAAAACACTTGAACTTGTGGTTTATGCAACATTGGTATTTCATGAATGTTGTAAGATTTCCCAAGTCTGACAGTGTGCAAGTCCAGACATGTTAAAATCACTTGTTTTGCATAACTAATGTTCGAGCTTGTCAAACATGGCTTGACACCACTTTTGCTACAGTTGGGAGGAAAAAACGAGGGTTTGCAGGAGCACTTTGTAAGTCAGTGAAAGAGGCTGACGGAGCAGATTTTGGGCATGTAACTGATACGTATATGTATGATTATTGACAGTTTAAGGTTCCCTGTGAGGCAGAATTTTTCACATTTGTTCTCGGCAGATGACATGAGCGTATGCATGTGCTACTACCATGCTCAGATTTGTACATTGATGTGGCTTCATCAGTAAGAGAAGTACATTTTTGTTGACACTATTAAGTTATTGGGAATAGATAAACCAGTGATTTTAGCTCAGAAGCTGCATGACTTGATAAAAAAAAAAGTTTTGGACATCCATCAATATTAAAAAAAAGCTCTCTTTTTGTTACATTTGGTGTCCAATTAAAATTTTCTGACACATCCTAATGGACATTAACCTGGTGCTTTATCAGCAACAATCATGCTCTCTGTGTGCTAAAATGTAGCTGATTTCCTTCAATAACCTTTTATTTTTTTATCCAAATGTATTTGGTTACCAGCTCAAACCTTTCCCATCATGATTTACATGTCCATCTTTTAGGAGATTAGAGTAATGAGAACCATCAGCTGTGTGTCCTTTTTAACTATGATCAGGAATATTCAGTCCGAGTCCCCTGACCTGCACAATGATGCTCTTTTTTTTGGAAGGGGGCAGAAAAAACAGAGGCAGCCTTTGTTTCTGGACTGAATAGCTGGCAGCACAGACTGGACTCGGCTGCTCTGGTAATGACATAAAAACCCACAGTGCTTTCATGAAAAGGCCTCACTGCTTAAGCTTATCAAATTAATGTGCTGACCCCTCCTGTAAACTACTGCAGGATGTTTGTATCACATTAGTTCTGTGGGATGATAAAATAATAATCACAGGCCTAGTGACTCGCTCTGGTAGATTGTAGATCAACCTATTTAAGGTCAAATTGAACAATATTATAAACAATTATTAAGCTACAAAGCTTCCATTCTTATTCTGGGAAAGTTGTTTGTTGGTTATCACTAAATCAGTGTTTTTGTTCCTCGAAGAATGTTAAATATGTTGAAGTTGTGGCTGCAGCATTTGAATCTTTGTTTTTATCAATAACTGAGGCTCATGGATTCAGCAGCATTTGACCAAGTTTAATGTAAAAATCTAAAGTATTTTTCTAAAAGTGTTTTAAGAGTTGTTATATAGTTGTTCTTTATATCAATATGAAAAGACATGTTCATATTTTTGTACACTAGATGGCGCCATTTTCTAACCTCACAGCAGCAGTGTAATGTTGCGTCAGCATGACTGTTGTTTCCCCTTCTCTAACGTTTATGTCCACCTGTGCATGAACTTGTTTAGAGCGAAGAAAAACAAGAAAAAAACTTGATTTATGTTCCCCATCAATATAACTTGGTTAAAACTGGTTTTTCAGGGTTCCCATGGACTTCTTGTTTAATGTCAGTTTAGACGTCTATGAGGAGGTGAAGAATGGGTTACTTGTCATATTTGTTACAGTTAAGAAAACACTGAAGAAAAAAGAGTTAGCTGGTGGTGGGGTGAGATTTTTGAATACCAAGTTTACTCCCTCTGACCTCTTCTTTGTTTTGCTCTTTATGCAGCTTGTAGAGAAGCCAAGAGATCCTGTTTCTGTAATTCTCTTATCAGACATATTCAAGAAATTTGCTAGATGAAGTTGCTTTCATGGGACAATCATTGACAAGTTCACATGCATCTACCTCGATTGTATTCTGGTGTTATGTTGATTATATGTCAGTATGAATTACAGCAGAGAAACCAGCTCATTGCTCTGAACTAAAACACTGCTCTTTGATCCCATCCTGCAGCTATTGATGAGTACAAGCCTCAGGATGCCACCACAAACCCCTCTCTCATCCTGGCTGCTGCAAAGATGCCAGCCTACCAGAACCTGGTGGATCAAGCCATCAAATATGGCATCGCCAAGGGAGGGTAAGCAGCTGTTTTAAAATGGAGAACCAAACCAATAACCACATGATTCTGTAAATGGCATGACTTTCAATGTTTGTTTCTGTTCATCTTAAACCCTCATTTCTAACTACTTGTCAAGGTCTAATTGAAAACATGAGTGTAACTGTGGTCTTCATACTCTTGTTTTTTTAAAAATGATCATTTAAGTGACTTTTATTGGTACTTCCTGAGTATGCAAACTAGGCCTGAACGATATATCGTTTGACTATCGTCATCGCGATGTACGTGTGTGCGATAGTCACATCGCAGAGCCTGCGATATTGGAGGTGAATGAACTCATTTAATTTCAAGGGTAACCGACTGAGATACACTCCATGTGACTCTGCATGTGCTGTGCAGCGATCCACCAATCGCCTTCGTCCTTAACTCAGTTGCCAATCAGACTCACTTCTCAGTTGCCAATAAGACTACCCTGCCAGCTGTCAATCAAAATCAGGGAGGAGAAAACCCACCCCTGCACATGTTCTGCACATGGAGGGAGACGTGTGTCCGCTGAGAATTACTTTCGGAACTTTACTCATGACTATTAAGCCCAACAAATAAGAACTGTATGGGTTTTAAATTGTACATTTCCGTGGACCACTCTACTATAAGCAGTGCGCGTTTTGCGAGGTGCATGCAATTCTCGGAGGACATGCGTTTCTCGGCACAACACCGCTAACAACAACAACAACGATCGCAAAATGAACAACGAACAAGCGAAAACCACCGAAAATGAAGATTTGTTGCCAAAAAGAAAAGGAAAGTCAGTTATCTGGAATTATTTCGGTTAAAAGAAGGATGATGTCGACCAAAACACGTCTTCTGTGTTCACCTGTTGCCACAATAACGTCCCAGCACAATAAAAGCTAAAAATATCTCTGAGACAGACAGAAGCCGTTCTACTAACATTCACAAAAAGAGGTAAGATCAGAGCAGATTAACTGTCCTCAAGATTTCAGCAGTGCAGCATAACATTAAGTGCTATTCAGGTCATCTGGTGAAAATACTGTATTTTTAATATCGCAATATATATCGCAGGGTTGAAAAAATCGCAATATTATTTTTTTCCAATATCGTGCAGCCTTAATGCAAACTGCTTAAGTGTCCCTCATTGAACAAGTCAAACTCCATAACCTGTCAAATTTCACATCATTGGTTTATCAAGAACTTGAGGACGTGTCTTTGTGAAAATAAAACACTTTCAGATAATGTCCATTTTAATACAGCTACATTTTTTTTAAATCTGGGCTTTATTTAAACAGTTTTATAACGTTTTCATCTTTCTCTGTTCAGAACTGAAGAGGAGCAGGGTGCACACACCATTGACAAGCTGTTTGTGAGTTTCGGTCTTGAGATTCTGAAGAGGGTCCCGGGCAGAGTCTCTACTGAAGTGGATGCCAGGTAGGAGCAAACATCACGTCAACATGTGCAAATTATGGCACTGAACATGTTACCTAATGACGACTGTCTGAAGCTTGTAAAACACACACGCAGGTTTTGAGGCACTTAATTTGCATGTATGTGATTTGTGAGACCAGACTCAAAAACATAAACTGACAACGGGGACTTTTTTTTTCACCATCTAATCCCACAATTATGAAAAACCTGAGTACAGGTATTTATACAAGCAAGAAAGTGAGCAGCTTAAGTAAGAGCTGTGTAAGATAGACTAGTTGCCTTGGAAATTGAAAATACATGCCTGATGAACATTTATGAAAAACATATTTGCTGGTGGACTTGATGAAAGACATTGGGGTTTGCACACTCAAGTGTACGTGGAGGAGACAAAGAATTAAGTAATGTGAGCACCAAGGTGGCAAGTTAGCTCTGCTTGGTCAAATTATGGTTCCCTGCCAAAAGACATCATTACAATCCTTCTTCTATCCCAGGTTTACTTAGAGAGAACGCAAATAATGAGGTCTTTTTAGGAATCCTGAGTTAGGGAGGTCCTGACTAACTGCTGTGCAGGAAAACGTGAAGTTAGAAAACCCAAGGGGGCTTTGTTAAGATGAAAGCAACGTCCTATTTACTTTTAATTTTCCAAATATTCCTGCAATACCTCCATGTCAACAGTGATATTTGCAGCATGCTACTACGGTTGTTGTAAGGACTGAAAGTTGCAGTTTTTCTTATTAAAGGTAAGTGTTCACTCTACAGTAACATTGGAGGAACATCAGTTCTCCACACTAATGAAAAAATATAACCGTCTGTCTTTGACGGCTCTCAGTTCATCATTATTCACTTAATTTAGAAAAAATAAACTGGACCTGGTTTCTGCAGAAATGATGCTCGTCTGATCAGAAGTGAAATATTTTAAAGAACTTTTTTTGATATTCCTAAAAGAGCAGCTTACAGATCGCAGTGAATATTTTCTTACTGATGAAAATAATTCTGCAGGTGTAGCCTTGAAACGAAAGTAATCTTTTATTAAAGAGGAAAAAGGAAAATGATTTTGTATTTGAAATCGTTTCTTAATGTTGAAATGCTGAGAGGTTGTTTCTCTTTACACCTGACAGGCTTTCTTTTGATAAAGATGAAATGGTTGCTAAAGCCCTGAAGCTCATTGCTCTCTACAAAGAGGCAGGTATCAGCAAGGACCGCGTGCTCATCAAGCTGTCCTCTACATGGGAGGGAATCCAGGCTGGCAAGTAAGTTCGTTATGTTACCTGTGGGTTGACTCACCTCCTCTTAATTGTATCTGTCATATTCTATGTGGGGTTTAAGTGTTCTTCCATGATGCTGGCGGGCTTCGTAGTCTGTCAGATATTTGAAGAATCTCTCAGGTACTGCAGGGTTTCTTATGATGTTCTTTGGTGGGGAGGGCTGTGCGACACGCCGTTTCCGTGTTAAAATTGGTACGTGCATATTATCACATTGAAGTTTATGAAGTGTCAATTAACACAAGGGCCAGAAGGGGAATTAATTCAAAAACCTCGTGTTACAGCTGTTCAGCTGCTTGTTAAAAAATAAGTTGCATGCTTCTCGTTTCCTCTACTTATTTACAAGGTAAGGAGCCCATCTGTTTTATAAAGATAATAAGTTCAGCCCTTCAGAAGACAGACGTGCATGCAGAGTCAGTTAGGTGCACATTGTAAGGATACCAGAAATAAACTCTGGAATCAGTATGTTTATTTCCATTATCAGTTGAGCCTCGTCATGGGTACACATGCAGCATACAAAGAGCATGTCAAGGTCTAAGGCATGAGAAAACGATGAGATTTGACTGTAAAATGTTTTTAAAGATTAAAACCTCTGCTTTTGAACAAGCTGATGGAGGTGATCAGTTTTTTGATCTGCCACATAAAGCTGCATCATTTCATTACCAGCAGCTTTTATCTCTAAAGAAGCACATCAGCATTGCAAAGTCAGAGCTGTTTTCTCAAGAGAATGATGTTTTTATGTGAAATACTCGACTGTAAGATGTTAGCTTGAGACATCACTCCACGACTAATACACAGGAGAGACATGGGAGAGAGTCATTCATGTGTGCATCATCTAATATTTATGAAGCCTCCTAAATGCATCTGTGCTGTATAAAGGTACGGCTTATAATGGTGTTCTTAATGCTTATTATCACTCATAAGGGCTCTTGTGAGGCTTCTTAAATGTGCTCACGGTGCATTAGGTGAGGTGGGTTCAGACTATGTGTTACTGAACGATTACATGACATAACTGCAAACTCAAACCAACTCATCAAGTTAATGAACAAATCTCTTGTGCAACCTGTTCTCTTTCCATTCAGTGTGATGGTGTGAGAGTTGGTGGCAGTATGTAAAACATAATGTAAAGTGTTCAGGAGGTGAAGACGGTAGACGTCAGTTCTTATATCACAAAAAAGCGTAACATGTGTATGGTCCTGTAAGGATTACTCGCAGCAGCAGATGCACACAAGAATACTAAAAGCTTTGTGCAGAGCTCTATTATTTTTTAGGCACTTGCATTGGTTAAAACAGCCTTGTTTGATATTCAAATAAATCCTCCTTTTATTGGATCTTTACCCATGAATCAGGATCCAGACCAGATCATCTTGTTGAGGAGAGATGCTCACTCATACATTTGAAGTCACGAGGGTCTTCATGATTGTTTTATGCAGGTGCTGGAATGTTGTCATCTTTTATGAGGCCCAAAACCGTCAAAACACCTTTTGTTATTCCCTGACAACTTTTCAAGCACATGTTCATGACACCTGCGCAGTGCCGGTGTTAAACATGTGCTGTCACTGTGCGTGAACACTGTTACAGTCAACACCTCTGAGTGGTTGTTCACAAAGTTAGATAGCTGATTTCAGTGCTTTTGATAAAAAAACAAAAAATGACAGATGGTTTTAAATTCAGAGATAGATACAGTTCCTGTTAGTCTGCTTTTCAAAACTATTAATGTGGATCCGTGACGCATGTTCATAAAAAACACAGATTTTCAGTGATATGTGTTAACAATAACACACATTTCCCTGAAAAATCTGAGTTTAATTACAGACTCACAGGTCTGAAAATCTACTGGGATTCACCCTGTAACATTGCAAACTGCCCTGCGTCAATTGGATTTCATATATTCAATTTTAAAATATCATCAAGAGAGAACTGAGTCAATAACAGGTGGTTTGTTTCCTATCTTTTGAAGGCTATGGTTTAAAAAGAACCAATCAAATGAATAGGTAAGCATATTACTGTTTGCCAATAGAAATAAATGTTGTACTTTTTATTTAGGGAGCTGGAGGAGAAGCATGGCATTCACTGCAACATGACCCTGCTGTTCTCCTTCGCTCAGGCTGTAGCCTGTGCAGAAGCAAAGGTGACTCTTATCTCACCCTTCGTTGGACGCATCCTTGACTGGTACAAGGAGAACACAGACCGCAAAAGCTATGAGCCACATGAAGACCCAGGTACTGAGCCTTTGTTTTGTGTCATGAAACTAACCTTTTTATACACGCTTCAGTGATAAAGGGGGCTGTCTGATTTGGTGGGTTCTTGTTTAAAACAAGTGATTCTGCAACTTTGACTTGCAATCTCTGGTGACTGAAGCAAAACATTCAATTTATGTTGTTTTTAACTTATTCATTGATTTTTTGAGAGCCCCTGTTTACACCTGGATGATTTGGAGTGTCTGCTCAAAGCCGGCATCTAAGTGCGACTCCAATAAAGATGTAATTCAGTCACCTTCATCATCCGTCACCTGACAGAAAATCAACTGATAAAATCTTAGGAGAGAGAGAGAGAGAAATAAAGCTGATAAATCTCAAGAGACAGGCCTTGATGTCAAAAGCACTCTGCAGAGGCCATAGTGTAGTGATTTCAGACAAAACAATGCTACTCTGTCAGTTCTTGCGTTTATATCAGTGCTACATGTAAACAGATAGTTCTCATGTTGAACTTTATTCTCCTTTAGGAACTTGAGTTGTTTTTTGCACGTGTTTCTAGGCGTTGCTTTGTCAGATGTGCACCTGTTGCAGATCAAAATGTCATTACTTTATCTTCTTTAGGTGTTCTCACGTCAGCTCATATTGATGTGATGTAAAAAAATGCACAAGGGCTGAGCAGGGTAAAATCCCTGGAAGTGTTAGGGAGAAAATTTTTGCCTTTACACATGCAGTCACCCTCTAAATTTTGGGGAGTTTTGTGTGAGAACAACACAGATGATCATATAATATAGCAAAGGACATATCAATCAATCAATCAATCAATCAAATTTTATTTATATAGCGCCAATTCACAACAGTCGTCATCTCAAGACGCTTTTCAAGGAACAAGAGCAGGTCTGGACCACGCTCATTGTTTGATGATCAAGAACCAACCTAAGATGGGTTTTGGCCCATCTCAACTAACATGAGTTACAGTGGCAAGGAAAAACTTCCTTTTAACAGGCAGAAACCTTGGGCAGGACCAGCCTCATGCTAGACAGCCACCATGCCGCTGCTGGGTTGGGGAGGAATGTAGAGAGAAGAGGGGAGAGGGGGAGAGGACAGGGGGAGGGAGAGAGACAGGAGGCAGCAGGAACAACAGCAACAACAACAACAGCTCATGTAATGGTGAAACAAAAAGAAGTTCAGTTTACAGGTTTAGGATATGAGTGATAATGGACAATGTTGAATTAATTGAGTGCGATTACAGTTAGCAGGCTTAATCGTAGTCAGTTCTATTTTGTATTATTAATGTCAATAATGACAGTGAGGCTGATGTTCATGTCTGCAGTAACAGTAACAAGTAACATATATGTCCACACTACCCAATGAATGTGGACAAATGCATTCCAAACCAGCTTCCATGTGTCCATCAGGACTGCATCTCAGTTCCTCTAGGTTGGGTTAAATCCGGTGAATGGACCTGCACAATGCTGATTGAATCTGTCCCGTGTTAGTGGCACGTGTTAGTGGCACGTGTATACAGGACCTGAGTTTTGTGTTTTTGAAAAAAAAAGATGTCAGTGTGTGTCTCATAACCTTCACAATATCTTTTGCAATATCTTTATGGTTTCTGTGTGTTGTCATGTAAATCATAAATGTCATAAAAAGGAATTTTGTCCCTGAAAGCAGTCACGAGTTGAAATTCAAAATTGTCAAAGTACTAAGGTGGTTCTGGGAGCAAAACAGTCCCTCAACTAGAGAAGCACATATCACATCAGACATAATTCATACAGCGCTCTTCATACAATGACAATGCAACACAAAGGGCTGTATTTAAAAATAAAAGGAAAAATAATCACAAATTTAAAATTCATAAATGAGTGAAAAAAATAGATACAAAAACTTAGCAAACTGAGGGAACATCATCGTAATGGCTTAAAGAGGAAACACTGGAGGTAGAATAAAATGTTAAATGTTAAGAGTAAAAACAAAAGAACATTAGAACCGTATAAAATTACAGAATCAATAAATATAAGATGATATAAGATATGGTGTAAGAATGAATTTAAAAAACATTAAATTAAAATAAAATCGGTCAACTATTATTTGGTCGCTACAATGAAATCAAATTTAGTTAAAAGCCAGACTAAAAAGGTGGGTCTTGAGTTTGCTTTTAAAAACATGGACACTCTGCGCTGCCCTCAGGTCTTCAGGTAGGCTGCTCCACAGACGTGGTTTATATAATAAGAAAAAGCTGCCTCACTGTGAGTCTTGGTATGTACTATAGGTATATACTTGGTATGTAATACGGTTAGAAAGGTATAAATTAGTCCTTGATCATCAGGAGACACAATAATTAATATAAAGCTGTTTGTCATCTGCATAGCTACTGAAACTGATGCTGAACCTCTTATTGACATTGCCAAATGGTGACATGTATAAAGGTTAAAAAGCATAGGACCTAAAATTGAACCCTGGGGAAAACCACAGTTCATTTTGTAGTGTCTAGATGAGAATTCACTCATACTCACCTGAAATTCCCTTTCAGTAAGGTAAGATTCAAACCAGTTAAAAACTGAAAATGCCAAGACTATGTTCTTACAGCAGCTCCCTGAACCCTTTACTACATTACAAACCTGCCTCTTTTCTAGTCCCTCCATTCAGCCTTTTTTTATACCTGCAGGATACATATATTTTTTTGGCTCAAGGCCTGAGTCTACTTACCTTTAGGCTGGTCAGTTAGTTGGAATTTAAAAGTCTGTTAAAATGATTTGGAAATGAGTCACCTCAGAACGCCCACACGCATGAGTTCAGGAGCCTTTTGCCTACTTAGAAATGATCTCCAAAGATTTAAAAATGAAGGCATCGTGGCACTTCTAGAGAGTTTTCATCACCTCATTCACCAACCGTAAAAACATTTCTGAAACATTTTTCTTGCAAAAACCTCCAACTCAGTGGTTCTCAAATTAAAACTTCTGCCCTCCTCTTTCTGCAGGCGTGTTGAGCGTGACCAAGATTTTCAACTACTATAAGAAGTTTGGCTACAACACGGTGGTGATGGGCGCCTCCTTCAGAAACACAGGGCAGGTGAAGGCTCTGGCAGGCTGTGATCTGCTCACCATCTCACCCGGGCTGCTGGCAGAGCTCAGCCAGGACCACAGCGCTGTCACAGAGATGCTCAGTGTGGAGAAAGGTAATTGTCTGTGAGGCAGCAGGTGCCTTTGTGTGAACTGGTTGAACTGCAGCTGGTGTTGATGCAGACATTTTTTCTCTGACACCAGTTATTAAAATGTCTCATCACACTGCATCAGGAGAGATAATAGTGTTTTTTTAGTGGCTGTTCTCAAGGTTTAGTGGAGGGTACTCAGACACATAAAATAAAGATCAAATTTGATAACAAAATGGAATTTAAATCATGGATTATATAACAACGTAGAGCTGTTGTACAGACGTGCTTGTAGTGTAGATGTAATCGCGATTTGATGAGCCTGTTGTACATTCAGTTACCATGTGTCATCTCTTTTTATGAGGGAGTAAGACTGAATGTTTGTTGAACCTAATCTCCCAAAACCAACTCTGTAAATGAGTTTAGAACCTGTAGGTGAGGGACAAGTTTTGGTTTCTGAACTGTTCTGGTTCCAATGATCCAAACAGTTCTATGTTCCTGTAGGCTTTGGTTGTGTGCAGGAAAACCAAAAGAGAGCAAAACAGGTGCAACCCATACACTTCCATAAACCCCAGAACCCATCAGCTGACGATTATTAAACCTTTTCTTTACCACTGCACACAGACATCTGCGTTAAGCTGCATTAACCAACAATCAGGCCAGACATCACTCTGCGCAAACTCACTCCTCACGTCTTGAGTTACAGATCAGAGAAATGACCATCACACTTAGGAGGAAGTTTTGATTCATTATACCCTACTCTTTTGAATATATATGTAAAAAAAAAAACCCTGGCAAGACAAGAAGCTCTGAAAAAAGTCATCCAGTGGGTTTTGGTATGTTTTAATGAAGTGAAAGCCTGAGGCAAAGACAGTCTTGCATAAAAGTCTTGTTGTCTGAGTTTGTCTCCCGAAGTAATGTATATCAGCAGTGATTGATTTGTCCATGAAAACACACACACAAAAAATGATCAAAGGGTAAATTATGCAAAAGTTAAAAAAGTTAGTAAAGCAGTTTTTTTTCTTCAATGTAAAAATGATTCACCCTGGACAGTTTAACAAAAATCCCCCCCTGTGATTTGCATCTAGCACTGCATGTCAGCATTACATCAAATTGGACTTCAAGTAGTATGCAGCACTTACTCATGGCTTCTGTTTGTCCAGATTTTTGCTTGCATTGTACTTGCACTCAGATTTGTGTTGCTTTGGGGCGTCCGTTAAAGGAAGTTATAATACTACTACAACAACCCTGGCAGTATTTTGGAAGCAGTCCTGTTTGTATAAAGATTCATACCAGATATGCTGTAAAATTAGGTGTGAATGAACTGCAATGATATATCAGTGTTATATTGTTTTATCCAAAAGATGGTGCTTGAAAAAGCAAGCGACCTCCACTGCGCAGAGCATGCTGGTTACATAGTGACATCCAGTAGGGTGCCACTGACACTTTGTTTATTCTCTCCTTGGGTCACCAAAAATGCGTTAAAGAAAACGTTTGTATACTTTGAGGAAATGAACCCTGTGACATGCTGGTTTAATTAAGTGGATTCCTCAAATTAAGACATGTGACCAACAGACATAAGTGACACGAGTCTCTGCAAATTAGTCACAGGCACTTTGACCATCCATGCTGACCTCAAATACCTAACACGTGTCTAGGAGGATCCCAAACTCCTTTCATAGATAGTACTAGAAAGGGCCACACAAATACAGTGAAACTGCATGTTGTGGACTTTGCTTAACACACTGGAGGTCCTCACACAGTCCCTTGGGGGGGCTCCATAAACCAGACATCTCATATCCTGGAAAAACTGGAGATCTTTGCATTTATGTCCACCTTGAACTTGCGTACTTTTTCCAGCTCAGGGCTGTAATCTGGAGAAGGTGCACATGGATGAGAAGACTTTCCGCTGGGAGCACAACGAGGATCGCATGGCTGTGGAGAAACTGTCTGACGGCATCAGGAAGTTTGCTGCCGACGCCATCAAGCTGGAGACCATGATCAAAGTAAGAGTTTAGTTCTGTGCGTTTGTGTTTGCTTTTTTTGTCCATTACAGCTTCAGATTGCTCGCTGATCTTTCTGTGCTAACTTTTTCTTCTTTTTCTACCACAGGAAAAGATGCTCAACGTGAAAAATGGCAAGTAGAGAACGGATTTGGAGTCTCAGGCTGCAGGGAAGGAAAAGTACACAGGAGGCCGCCTTCTTTTTCCCAAACTACTTGAGAGGTCCTGACGGCCCTCACTCTCCTCATCTGACCAAACTCCAGGGACCGTCCCCTTTAAAGGGACACCTCTCCTCTCTTCTCTCTGACTGACTCTTTGACCAAACATAGAAAGTGATTTGTGCTTATGTTGGTGTGAAGTAACTGTGTAAAATAGTCAAACGTTTGCTAGGAATTTGACCGTACAGAGAAGAAACTTTGCCGAGAGAAAAAAATTGTAGCAAGCCTTTTTTTGATCATGTGACTACTTGAAAAGACCATGAGCACTTTCCAGAAGAGAGGACCACAGTTTTGCTATCAGCACCATTGTACCATCATTCCTCAGATTATAGCGTTTTAATCTTTCAATAAATAAACAAAATCTCATCCAATCCTGTTGTGTTGACTCTTTTGTGCATGGTTTCTGTTTTTGTTAACAGATCAGTGTTACATCATACGCCAGACTCACAAGCTGCAGCTGCAGTTAAACCATTCAGAGCATTTTAAATGAGAGCCACATCAGTACAGGTAAACTGGGAACATATAATCTTTTTTGTCTTTATTTTTGTTTTTACTGTTTTCATTGCTACATGCCAGATACCTCAGGGAATTCATTGTATGTCCTGACTAACATGGCAATTAACTTGACTCGATTCTCAGTTTCGCAGAGCCCTTATCTTGGTGTGCGACTTTGTCATGCCTCGAACACGGCCCCTTGTCGAGCCAGTTTAACTCCATTCTGTTACAGCCCTAAATTAACTAAACTCCACCCCAACTTTTTTCCGACATATATAAAGAGCATCATGTCTGGAACACCTTTGAGATAGAAAGAAGTAGAGTCTTAATATTATCTGTGACATTTTAAAGGAAGAGCAGCTCACGGTAGGAAAGCAAAATCCATTTTTCATTTGTATTGAGACTTGTTTAAATTAATGTTGTCAGGGATCTGAAGCTGAAGCTTAAATGAAGTATTCTTGAAAATGTTTGCAGTGAAGGTGGCAGGGTTGGTCTGTAAAATGATCTCAAGGATTTATTCATGTTTTGAGACTATAAGAGTCAAAGGAAGTAACTGATATGTTGTGTTTTTAGAGCCATTAAAGTTCTGGTGCTGAGAAAGGTTTACATGTGGTTCACTGTAACAGGTGATGATTGCAAAAAGAGGCTTATTCAGTTGTTTTATGGACCAAAAGTATAAAACTCTGCAGGGAACATAAAGCATTAATATATCTCAGATTACAGTTTACTACAGCACATAGAATGACATACTTTAAAGTGGCACAGCAGGTTGCTCAGCTTAAAAAATGTAAACCAGTGTGTTTTATCCCGGGTGAATAATTACCCTCCATAAATGTGTTAAAAGCTCGTCACACTTCACAGTCAACCATACCGCTGAAATGCATTTATTCCAGTTTTAAACCTGTTTTTGGAAACTATTTTTTAAGAAAACAAAAACAAAGTACAAAAGCTGTTCAGCTATGTGGAGACAAAAACCTCCAAACCAGTTGTTTGGAAAAGAACCAGACTGTTTCCCTCTGTCTGTAAGAGCTGGCTGTAAGACTCGCGTCATGTGTCAGAGCTGATCGTTGTCCTTTATCAGAGGTTTGAAAGGAAATACGACTTTTTGAAAGCACCATGTCTGCCTTACATCATCTCACCTAAGATCAGCTTGAAAGTTCCCCAGGTGAACATCCACAAAAGACCCAGTCTGAACTGTCCCCAGTCTAATCTAGTGTGAACAAAGACAAACAAAAGAAATGAAACAAGTGCAACAAAGAGCTTGAATGAGGTTCATATTTCTCACAGTGGAAAGGGGATTAAGAGGCACAGATGCTTTTTTCCTGAAATAACATTTAAACTGATCTGCACCTCAACATGTATTCTGAGCCTCATTCCTTTGGGTAATAAAGACATGTATCATTTGATATGATATGGTAATAGCAATAATGATAATAATAATTTGTTCGTATCATAATTATTATCATAATAATTTTACTTCTTTAAGGAGAAGAACATCTTTCTGATTTGCTATGACTTTATGATCGTGACTTTATTGTGATGAAAGCTTGGGCAGAATACTTCATTTTGCGCTCCAAACTCTTCCTCATCTTTAAACAGACAGATATCATAACTTATATCAAAAACATCTTTATATGTATTTATTCATCTTTTTTTCCTGTAACCTCTCTCTCTGTCAGTAATGAAGATTATATCTTCTCTCTTAGACTTGTCTGACATCATCCCTACATTACTTCCACTGTCAGTGTTTATAAGTCTGTTATGTATCATCTCCTAGATATGTTGTCTTTTCTCTTAGGGAAACTTCTTCAAGTTTAAAATCATTTCTTCAAAACTTAAAGTGGGCAAATTTGAAATGCAGTCATTTTTTCCAACCATCAACATAAAGGAAAATTATTTATAGGGCTTTAAGGACAGATTGTGGTCTTAGGTTTAATTTAAAGTCCAATTTTTCATCACTTTCCTGTTTTAAGAAAGTCTTCTGTAAACAAAATGTCATTTAAAAAATCTCTAAATTTTTTCTTTGTACATAGAAAAGTATTTAAATACAAAGACAGATGACCTTCCTGTTGTGGATATTAACACTCTTCGGGTAGTTATAGTTAGGTGTTGTGTGGGTCTGAGGGTTTGCTTGTTTCTTCATCTCAGTTAAATCAGTCTCTATTATTACTGATTTAACTGAGGTAAATGATGATGCAGTAATAACATGTATGCTGTATCTAATAACTGTAATTATGAAGGAGAAATCTGATTGCCCTGCCCTCTGATTTCCCTCCAAATTGAATTTCTATCCTTGGAGAAATTTAATTTAGAGGAGTCTGGTTCTCTTTGGAAATATCTAGAAAAAAGATGTTGTCTTGAAGCAAATTTTCTCTTTCCACAAGAGCAGACAGTAGAATAATATCACCAATAATATTCCTTAATACTTCAAACCAGTATGAAGTATGTTTTTGAGTAAACTTGTGATAACTGTCTGTGAAAAGATTCATTGTTTAACTGCAGGACCAAAGCTCAAAATGTTTTATGCCTGAGACACTCTGAAACGATGCAAAGAAGCTGATGTCTGCGGGGGAGATGGAATATACAATAAGTGTTATTAGAGTAAAGAAAACACAACTGTAATTATTAATGTACATACTGTACAAAACCTCTGACTGCATTCATCTATTAGGCATGGAAAAAACACTGTGACATGCTTTTCCGAAATGTCATCTCACGATAAATTCCTCCTCTTCATTGTATTGCATCATTTTGAATCATCAGTAAATAAGGCATCATATTATATAAGATATGACTGTAAGCATTGACCTTATTTTTGTGTGTCAAATGTTTCCAGTGCCAGTCTTTCAAAAGCTTTCACATGAGACCAAATCTATTTATTTTCCATGATTGACGTTGTTTTTGTCCTTGTTTTGTTCTGCATCCCCATCTTACCCTGTAATCTTCAGTATGCTTTCATGCTAACCTCTCGTCTTTCTGCTTGTGTCTATTTTTACCTCACCCTGCAGATTATCCACTACGTGTCTTAAGGCGTCATCAGCCACAATTTACATACCCCACCATAAAGTTCAAGGCTGATCCAGTTTCTGTCTGTTTCAATCTTCACGTCAGTCAGCACTCTAATCATCTCTCTCACATTTTTCACAGACAATAACCCCTCTGACTCTAGAAGGACCTCGTCGTACCACAATCCCCTCTGTCAGACCTCAAACAGCAGACCTCTTTCAGAAAGTGTCGGCACTCATAATGCTAGGTAGGTTTGAAAAGAGAATGAGTCATTATGTGACTGTTTGTATGAGAGAAATGTATGAAAAAAAGGTTATATAACTGTCTTATTAGTCTTGGTCGTCATTTCCAGAAAAACATCTGCTCAACGATACTGGATTTCTTTTAAAATGTTAAAGGCCAAATACCTCTTTGGCTACTGGCTGAAAGAATTATCACTAAATTTAAGCTCCTCAAAACCCTTCCTATATAGATCCAGTTGCTGTAAAGGAGCATTTTGTAACTGTTAATAACTGTGTAATATTGTTGATCTGTAATATTATATGTTAACATCCATTTAAATTCTAGAATGATGAAGTATCCTTCAAGTGTGTTAAAACTTCATAATCTTATGTACACTAATCTGTAGTTAACCCTTATTTAAGTCTAATTAATGTTTATTATCATATTTTTATTGTGTATGAAGTGTTAACAGGTTTCTAATAACAGCCTTTAAATGTTCAAAACAACAATAAATGTGTCAATTATGCCGTTATTAACACTTATTACTATTTATGAAGAATTATAAGAGGCGTGTTGACTATTAACTATTGTAGTCCAAATTCACAGTGTACCTCTTAATTTGAAAATATAACCATTTTATTTTCTTGCTATTGTAAGTGTGGCCGTTATTTTTGTGTTTTATGTACCACCACATGTTTTAATCAGAGAGAGAGAGAGAGAGAGCTGTTATATGCTCAAGTATGCTTTTCACTATTTGATTTGTAGCTTATTGAATGAATAAACTTACTAAATACTGAGCCCTGGCTGTGACCTGACTCCCCTGTGTCTTTATTTCCCAGAGGTCCAGACTAAGTGAAGATCTGAGATGCTGCAAGGATCCAGGCTGAGAAGCCTGCTGCAGGGCCTGACTCTGCTCCTGTTGAGCCCAGCCTGCCAGGCCTCCTCCCTGGGGCTGACGGTCCACGTTGTGCCCCTGAAGAGTCATGGAGGAGAAAAGGTGGGCTGCTTTACCACAAAACTTTTTGTCTTCAAAACATTCACACTCGTACATTTCTACTGTTCAGTGAAGGTTTTCGTTTCATATTAGGTGACAGGATGAATGAGTGACTGGAATTGAACCTCACAAATGAGGAAACTTACTCTCTGCTAAGACTTTATTAGAGTTTATATTAGAGTTGTTACCTTGATTGTTCAAAAACTCCTAGTAGAAAAAAGGATTTACTCATTAAACTCAACATTTCACAGTTTAAATCAAAAGACTTGGTGTGAACAGGAGACGTAACCTTTCAGGGGTTTGAATAAGAAACACAAAATGAGTTTTATTCTCTGTGAAATGGAGAAAGATGTTGTTGTTGTTGGCTGGTTAATCTTAGTTCAACAGTGACGCTAAATCCAGTTTTTGCTGTAGACGGTTTCAAAAATCTCAGAGTCTCTCAGGTTAAAAATAAGAGACATTCAGTGAAGTGTGAAGGAAGACTGTGTCTGGTATCAAACTATTGTTCATCACATCCTGCTCAACTGCATTAAGATTGTTTTTACTGCCACAAAGTGTGTCAAACTCACACGCAGAACCTTCTCTGCTGCCAAGATGATTTCTTTCCCCCACACCCAAGTCTGTCAGAACTCCTCTGTCAAGCCGTCATTAAAGTCTTACAGACAGGATACCATACATTCACTCAGTCACCACCTCACTGTGTCACCCACAAGGGCAATGTAGCATGAAAGTTGTTTTTGCAGGTCCTTATTGTGTGCAGTTGTGTTGTATCTTTTGTCTGCTGATGTTGTCTCAGGTTAAAGGTTGTAAATACATCGGCTAAAAGTGAAGCTGAGCCTTCAGCGTTCGATCCAACAATCACTGATTTAATGACAAACTTTACAGATTCCTCTGATGGTCTAAAAATATGAAAAATTCAACCACTTTGTTTTTACTGCTCCACTTTACGTGTTTACAGTCACCTGTTTTCAACATGTCAAGAGCTGACCTAGCCAAAATAATAATTGATGTTAATAACTACTACAGAGTCGTACAAGAGTGCCAAGTGATTAACGTGACCTCAAACCAGTTCAGGCAGAGGGCTGTGCACTCTTTCAGGAAATGTTTTTAATTACAGAAATTGGCCTGCCTAATGTGCTAAAAATACTTTTTTTCCATCATAGCTCTGACATTAATAGACAGAGGGATTACAGTCCCTCTGTCTACTGCTGTTCAGAATGTTTTTGCACACTTACCAAACTAAGTGTACCAAAAGTACCAAAGTGCCCTTTTTGATGCTCCTGAAAATGTGCTTTTCTATCTGCCCCTTGTAAAGGACAAAACATGACGAAGTGCCCTCAAGACGCTCTTTCAAAATGAAAAAAGAAAAAAAAACAGTCTTTTTTTTTAGGATATAAAATGTAGTAAGGGTGCCCACTTGATGCCCTTCTAATCAAATATGTGATAAGTTGCCCTTTCTTTTGATATACAACCACTAAATGTTGCATGTATTCCCCCCAGACAAGCTCTTATTATCTGTGCCCTATCATGTTTTAATAAATCTCACGCTGAGGGTATCAGGGGGATTTGTAAAACTATTCCAGGTTTGTGACCTCCAGGCTGCGTATCATCCAGGGTTGTCAGTGTGAAATGTTGACAGTCAATCATAATTTTAAGTCTTTAAAATAAGACAGATATTCATCATGGCATAGAGAAGGTATGATGATGTGTAACTGTGATTTTCCCAACAATGTTTCAAAGAAACAGTCGGGGAATCAGAAGAATTTTTCTTGGGTATCTGTAGTCAAGCTGATAAGACACAAATATATCAACTAAGAGTGAAGTTTAGCTTTCAGCTTTCAATCGAACAATCGTTACTTTAGATGAAAAACTGAAGAGTAACCTGTGGAAGTCTAAAGATATGACAAACATGTGAAAGATGAAGTGGCATAACCACATTTTTAACTGCTCCACTTCATATTTTTACAGTCACCTGTTTTTGTCATACATCAGGTGTCCTTTTGATTTTCTGTCACCCCTCAATCAGCTTCAGTACACCACTGATGCTGGCTAACTTGCTGTGGCCGTAAAACTGACAGAATAACTGAGGGCCTGGCGGGTGAGACAAAAAGTGAGACAAAAGTGCTGAAATCAAAGTCTACCTGTGATTGATATATTGGACAGAAAAAAGAGAGAAACCGCTGATTTACTGCCTTCTAGTGTCCTGTTACAATAAGGGCAGAATGCGTAGAATTTAGATGAGTCATTAACCCTCTTCTCATGGAAAAACCAGAGGGGCTTTATAGGATGTAGATCTGCCCTAAAATCTTTAGCTTAGGCCTCTAGTTTGAGTAAAACCTGCAATTACAACTTTAGCAAAGCCACTCGGCAGAAGAACAGAAACACTGACTCTAGTATGGATCTGATTGGCTTTCACTAAACATCCTACTTTCGTCTTTGATTCATGCTTCACTTTCACTGAGTTAAAAAAAACTGGACTTTTACTTTGCAGTTATTCTGTTTGTAAATGAATATCTGTTTGAAGGTTAGACAGTAGCTCGGCTTTTGAAGCTGTTTGCTGGTTTTGTAATCTACAGTCTGCCACGTCCTGAACTATTCAACAATGACTGAAAATATTCCAGAGTCAGGACAGACTGTTCTCACTCTACAGGTTCTTGAGCTTGAGCTGAATCCTCTCTGCTGGTCTTAAATCTGTCACTGCTCACTAAAGAGGGTTTTATCGTTGATCTGTTTCCCCTCTTTCTCTTCTGCAGGTGCACGCTCATTTTAGTGCCATCATTCCTGGTCCCTGTCCGGATTTGACAGGAGTCTGTGCTGTAGGAGAGGACTGTCAAGTCTTAAAAACATCTGTACCCTTCACTGGTACCACACCAGGGTCAGGCTGGTGTGCCCGCCAGTGGCAGAAAACTGTCCCCAGTGATTACAAAGCCGCCATCAGTTTAGGGTAAGCAGTCTGTACCTACAGAGGCAGATTTGTTTTGCAGCAGGAGCAAACAGAAGGACACAGTATAAAAGGGCATCTTTTGTAAATCCAAACCGAAAAAGCACTTGGGATAATAACAAAAAAAGTATCAAGTCTTTCCACTCACCTCCTACCATGTTTTGGAGTGTGCTCTTTTTTCCATTACTTTTACATTCTTTAATCAATCCTCCTCTTGAGCATGATGCACTTTGCATATATTTACACCATATATGCTAAGTACCGCATGTGTTTATCCTGGATATCTTATACTGTGTTTTATCTCCACTAATATACACATTTTTCTCCAACTTGCAGGCCCACAACAGAAGTTTATGTATCAATAAAAGCAAACCCAGTGATTCGGGAGAACAGCGGGAGACTCAACAATCCCCCTTATGTTGGTCTGTTTCCTCCACTGAGGTAAAATACATCAAAACACACTCACTTTTCAGTGCAACTTGGTTCAGACTTTGTCCTGTCTGTATCTTGGAAGAAAATCATGTGAATTATTTAGATTGTATTACTAATTATGGGATTTTCAGTATTGGTGATTTCCAAACTTGTAAATCACACAAAAGAGCTCATACAACAAAGGCCAGGTGCAGCAAGACAATAGAAAGTCAATATAGGTTTAATCAAGTTAGTTAGCCACAAAATCCACAGATGAGATCACTGAAATTGTGGTAGCTTTAAAGTAATGAAATAGTTAGCTGTAAACAGCTAACTTAACTGAGTTTAAAACTTCAAACAGGTCAGAAACAGACAGCCAGGCAAAAGGAACCAGAATAACGGTCTGTAATGGTCTCCATTTTGCATATGTGACATTTTGTGACTTCCATTTGGGTGTTTCTGAGTTTAACTACTTCCTTATTGTACCTAAATGTGAGTAAGCAGGAAAGACTGCAGGATGATAACCATCTTTGCCAGTAAATAACCACACGCCCTGGACCAATTATAGGAATGCTGCAGACTTTGTTTACAGATGCACAGATTTGGTCATATCCACCTTTGTTTACTCCTTTGTCTTGATGTTGTTTTTGATTTGTGATGCTGATAATCTCTTTTTTCTGTTTCTGTATTTGTTTTTGCCTCTGATGATTTGATCAGGGCTCGGGTGAACTGCCCTCACCACCTCCATTTATCGGTGAAAGATCTGGATGGCGACAAGGTGCAGTGTCGGTTCGCCCGTGAGGATCAGGGAGAGTGTGTCAACTGTCCTCAGCACTCCTTTATAGAACTGGATGAGGTGAGTCCACGCAGTTATTCAACACAACAATATAAATGTTTGTTTTTTTGATTATTTTATTTTAGTTTTATATACATATATGCAAACTGTACGTAAAAAGTCAATATACCAACAGTATACAGACAAAACCTCCCAAGTAACCCCCCCTCCCAAAACAAGACAAAAAAAATACAAATGTTTTTGTGAGTTTTGGTGAATCCAAAACATGCAAGCTTTGGGGCAGTTGTTATTCGTGTATCTTTTATGTTTCATTTTGTATTATTTATGAAGAAAACTGTAAAACACTGAAAGCTCAGTGTCATCCCCCTGCAGATGATATGATACGTTGGTAGACGTATGATGTGAACAGAGGTGTAAAATGTAGTGAAAACCTGTAGATAAAACTTAATACTGCCTTGCAAAATTATTTCTGCATCCAAAATTTACTTGAGTCAATCCATACCAAGTGATATGTTGAACCTTTGAGACTAAATTTGGAGTATATCATAGCAGCATTCATATACTCCATTACTGGGTTGAATATTATGATAAGTGGACCAGGAACTATTTACTGTTGTATCAAGTTGAGGCTCCTTATCAATAAACTTGAAATACTTCCATCAACTTAAGATCAGTCTGAAATCTTTACCTGTACTTTACTCAAGTTTTTTGTTAGTCAGTGTAGTTTGCGACTGCAGACTCTGGATGAGTGATGCCTCTGAGCTGCACTGATTTCCCACCTGACATGCATAATCTTACAATTACCTAAAAATGCATTCTCTCAGCTTCGGCGGTCTATTTGAGCTGACAGATTGACAAACACTCCCTCTGTTCTGCCTTTGTCTCTCCTTCTCTGCACCAGTTACATTTTCTGCCTTGTTTTCAAACTTTCAGCCCCACCAGCCTCTCAGCATTCACCTTCAGGCTCTGACTACAGGGCACTCAGATACCTGTATGTTAAATGAGTCTCCAGAGAGTAATGAGGTCAGAGTGCAAACATGTACAAACTACGTTCTGCTGCGAAAACAGCATACGTATATAGTAAATACACATAACCTTAAAGTCATTATTTATAGCATTTTTCCTTTATTAGCTTGAAAATCTGAAGACTGACTGTAAATGTGGGGAGTAGAGGATGGGGTGTGGCTGATTGCTGTAGCCTGTATGAATATGGGACACTTACTAAAGCCACTCGGCCAACTGCGACAGGCACTCTCAGATTTTGATCAAAAGTTTCTCCTCCGGTTATCATTTTAAGGTAAATTATTCCACAGCTTTTCCAATGACTTCTGAGTAAACGTATAAACTTTGTCTTCAGTGTAAGAGACTGTGGTGAAAAGAATGCTGCTACACAGAAGAGTTACAGGCTGAGCAAAAGCTGTTTTAAAAAAAGCACAGAGGACAGCTGAAGAAGATGTCGCGGCCTGCTAGCCAGCTAACTGAAGACGCCTTCACACTTGTGCAAGTTTCTCTGCAAATTCAAAAACAACATTAGAGCTCATGCCTCTTCAGGTTGCTTTTTTACGTTACACTTAAACTGACTATTCCCCAACTGTTTTCATTCAGTTCCATTACTCATGATACCAGAAGTAATGTGCTTCAAAATAAAAGCTTAGTTTGACTATGTAATCCAATATTTGAGTTGTTGTTCACAGAGCCGATGATAAATCTGAATTTGATCACAAATTGCAAAGGACATGTAAAGTAACTGTTTATTAGTTAAGTGTACAAAATCATGTGCTGCTCCACCCTTGTCCTGCCTTTCCTCAATTTGACTGATTGTGTTGCTTATTTTTTTTTAGTTTTACATAAATATCAAGATAGTATATGGCCAAGATAACTGTATGGTGAAAATCTGGTATTGTGACAGTCCTACAGTGAATTCTAACAACCTTCCTGACATGAGTCAGTCACTTTATAAATCTGGATCACATTTTTAGGTCAACACTCAGCAGTTTGTCAAAGTCCTTGCTTTGAGGGTATGAAGTTACTCTGTATAACCAGCAGCAGCTTGTTTTTCCAGAAATGATGAACCGATACTTTGAATAACTTCCCTCATTTCTATAATATTAAACTATTTAATTACAGAAATAAAATCTCTGAAGACCGTGAGAACTGAAAGGATTTCAGCAGTGCAGATTTGTTCTATTCATTCCTAAGATTTTCTCATGAAATGACTAAAAATGCTTCCACCTGTCTCTACACACTGTGGACTGAAGAACAAGAGGGATGTGTTCAGTTTCAGTTTTCTTGTCATTTCAGAATCTGTAGCTCATTTCTCAGATAGTTTGATGTTTTTCAGCCACAGATTCAAAGCCGTGTGGATGCTTTGCAATAAAATAAAAAAATACAAGGCCCAATATTGTGTCCTCTACTGGCTGCACCCACAGCGCTCTTTGTTGGCCCCTGCCTCACTGAAGTCAGTGAAAGCATTATATAAAGTTACACTCTCTTGTTTTTTTCTCTTTCGTCAGAAAAAGTGCGTATTGAGATTCACTGGAAAAGCAGCAGCAGGACAGTATTCCATCTACCTGATGGCAGAGGACCTGATTCCTGTTCCCAAATCGATCAAAGTCACAGACAACTCACCCCTCAGCTCCGTCCCTGTGCATCTGTCTCTCACTGGTGAGTCTGTCAGTCAGTTACCACAGCGCTGATGCTGACTTTAAGCCGACAAAGGTATACAAATAAAATAAGCAGCTTTTGTGTAAGAGAAGGAATACAGTGAATGTGCTCAAGAAAAAGGTTTTTATTTCATGTTTTAGCTCTACCACAGTAAACAGATGGTGTTACATTTACTGGGCTTCCTTCTGGTATGATCACACTTTGTCCTTTGGCCTCTGTGGCTTAGAGCCACATCCCTAGCAACAGTCCGTTCTTCATAGCAACAGTCTGCTATCAGAGAAGAGTGAGCAGTTGTTTTGAAATGTTGCTGTGAAACTTTGAGTTTGATTTGTGTCAGAGTTACATTTGTAGTTAGTATGTTGTCTTCTGTTATAATGTGAAATTAGAGCCTCAAACATCTCTTAAGCACAGAGAACTCAGAGTTTTAAGTCCAGAAACTGATTTTTTTGAAGAAATAAAAGTTTCTTGGGACTTCCTTTAACTTTATTGTTTAAACTAATTTACATATCAAGAGAAATATGGTGTGAGGACCTTCTTTGAGGTTACTTTAAAATTCTAGAGCAAGAACTTCTCTGGGAGATGAAATATTACCTCAACACTATTGAAGATGCTGGTCCCAACAGTGTAAGGTACAGAGTTTCTCTGAAGGAATATAGATGATTCCTCAATGAAAGAAAAATTTTGCTCTCCACCTTTTCAGTGGAGGAGTCAGCGACCAGCTGCAGTGATGAACCCGTGGCATTAGGCTCGACCCCCAGAGAGGACACCACGCTGTTTGTCCTACCATACCAGCTGGTGAAATTTGACATCAACTATGAGTCACTGCTGGAAAGGTGCGTCTCTTTTTTTCAATACCTGAATTTTGTTTTATGCCATTAACTTAACATTTATTTCTGTACAAAAGTGTCCTCTTAGGGTCAAACTGAAGTGTCTTGTAAACTCAGGAGTTCTAACAGGACACAACGTAAAAACCTCCTACGAGGTTTTACCAGATAAACAACCTTCTTTAACAAGCTGACACAAACAGTCATAAAAGCTCAAACTGAAGCTTTCTCTCTATGTTTGCAGTGTTTCAGAGGTAGCCGTGGTTGGTCCACCTGAACTCCTCAGGGTTCAGTTCAAATCAATCGGCCCCCTTGCCACGATGACGATGGCCTGGGTCCGCTCTGAAAACAGTCTGACGCGCCTTTTGCCCATCTGCTTCGCTGTGAATACAAGACGGTAAGACAGTGGAGGCACACTTAGCCGGGAAAAAGGGGCTGGATTATTTAGAAAACATTGAAATCTCATGAGTGTTCTTGAATAAAGACATCACTCTGCTCTGTTTATAATGCAGTCAATGCTATGAAGTGAGTTCAAGTCAAGTGGAAAGAGTGCTTTTAAGGGAGGACTTGAACTAATATGCTGCGGAAAACTACATTTTTGTTTACACGACAGTCTGTCATAATAGGGAAAAGGCCTCTCGTTTGAAAGGGAAGTCAAAAATAATACAACAAATTAACAAGGTTGACTAAGAAACATGAATTACAACAGATTTCACTGTTATATCTTTGCATGTGTCAAAACAGGAATATTCTGCATTTTCTTGTGAGTCTGCACACTGAAAAGCATAAAAACCAGAGGGCCTCATGGTTGTCTGCAGGTTAAGACACAAACCACAAATCACTGTAACATCCTTGTTTCAGTTTTAGCAGCATATCTTCGATTAATGGCACATGGCTTCCTCTAATTGCCACGTGTGACTCCCTGAAACCTTTAACAACAGTATGAGTTGTTAATATTTGCGGTCAGAACTGCCTGAGATTTTTGGTGATGTTCACATACTGAGGATTTTTTGAACAAAAATATGATGTACCAAAAACCTGCTGAATGTGAGCAAAGCCTCGTGGCTCTCTGGTTTTTAACGTGCTTTTTGAGTGTCTTGGGTCAATGTTTTTGAAATTTGAATCTCACCTCTCCAAAGAGTAGCTCAAACACACTCACTTAGCGTCCAGGAAGTGTTTCTACCCTCACATTTTTCGATTTGCATGACAGGCTCTGATGTGCTCTTCTTGTCTTTCCAGTTTGCAGTCAGATCCCAGATGTGTGTGGCTGTACCAAAGTAAGTCCTTTCGAAAAATGTCCCAACAAGTAACACAATTTATGCTTCCCTTCATCACAGAAAACAACAGCCTTAAACTCACACCAGGTTTTTGATGAATATGACCACTGAAATATGCTTTTTAAAAATCTTTTCAGGAGAGATGAGGACGCTACCTGCAGGAACAGGTAGAGAAAACATTATATTTCATTTTATTCTAGCGTTTGAGTGAAAGTTTGAGTACACTAAATATGATCAAATACAAGAATGTGTGAAGGATATATGAATTTGTTGCTGTTTGCCTGCAGAGCTGACGTGTGGAACGACAGCGATGACTCTGGTGCTGCCTGTCTCCTCCCTGAATAACATCAACATGGCTGATCTGCAGCTCAACAGCCCCACCTGTCCCATCGCATACAACAGCACACACCTGCGGGCAACAATTCCTTTGGCTGGCTGTGGCACAAAGACTGTGGTAACATGCTTTTTCTGGATCATCACAGTCTGTTATATTTTATCTTCCTCTCATTTCAAACTATTTTGAAAAGGCTGAAGTATTTTTAAACACATCACACCATCTGAACTGTTTGGGGGGTTGAGTTGTCATTGATTTGGCTCTAGAGATTTGTTTTACTCAGTAACTGATGGTTTGTCAAGTGTAGAGAAGTACAATGAAAGTAAAACAAAGTACTAACTTTTAAAGAAAAACTACATGTACGCAAAAAAACTGCTCCTTTACGGTTACATGAGTAAATACTGTTTGTTACCGTTCACCCCTGAATATGACTAATGACCTCACTTTGATTCTTTTGCAGCAATCTGGTTCAGAGCTGGTTTACACCAACACCTTACAAAGCGTGCACCCCTTCACTCTGGTCAGACGTACACCTTCCCTCATCCTCCCTCTGGCTTGCCGTATTAAGGGAGTGCAGGCAAAGGGACCGCAGTACCAGATTGGCATACCCACAGAAAAGGAGACATTTGGCGAGGTGCGGTTCTGGTTAGAGTTTTATCTTCCTGGAGAGGGGCCACTGGCAAAATTTACACGCAAGCCTGTACTTCGAGTCCTCCGCAGAGCTTCAGAACGAACCCGTCGAGATGTGGAACCACTATCAGTGGAAAACACCTCGTCCAACACAACCTCCAGTATTTCCCCCACTTACACTACCAACACCACCAACACCAACACCACCACCAGTTCTCCTTACAGCCCCTCAAATGGCACCACTTCAAACACCACAGCTAACTCCACTGGCCTGACTACCAAAATGGCTGTGGGGTCTAGGATTAATGTGCTGGATCTGCATGTGATGTCCAACTGCAGCATAGATCGAGCTGAGGTGTTGGTCAGCGACTGCATTGAGTCTGAGACAGAAGACTTTGCTGTATCCTCCCCCATCTTGGAGCAAGGGTTAGTGACCATTCAGCATTTTTCTGTTATAGTTTGAGGATGCCATCTTGAACAGAACAGATACATGATAAAACAGATAAATCTAGAGCATATCAGATCAACTGCAACAGTTCTCTCTCTCTTTTTTCAGGTGTACTGCTTCAAACTCCACGTTAGAGGTTGTTACAACACTACCCAATGCAAAGATCTACCGTCTTGATTTGAGCAATGGGCAGGCCAAAGGAAACACTGTACGTACCATCATTCACGCACATCAACATATGCACATTTATTCATTTATTCTAAAACTCCTATGACATGTGGGTACTATGTCCAGGTGTAATAACAGGTGTACGTTAAAAAATAATCCTGATTTAAAAAGTTGTGACACTTTCCTGTGTTTCTGCTCATCTCAGATTTTTGCTTCCTTTATTTAGTTGTTTTTTTTTCAGTTTGTCTTGCTTATTAGGTAAAATACATTATAACTTGTGGTTGAAAAGCAAATAATTTGGACATATGTCATGGTCTTAAAGGATAAGTCTGTCAACTTTGATATGCGGCTCTACAGATACCACTCACACCAAGTCCATTGTGCACAGTCAGTGCATACAGGTTCTGAATAGCCTACATTACTTTTGAACCTAAAACAGTGCAGAGACATAGCTGCTCACATGGGTTAGATAGAGTCAAAAGTCTTTAAAAGGTTATTTTGATACGTTGTAAAGCCTTTCAAATAATCTATCCATGCATCTTTCTGTTTCAAGTGTGCAAATTTGCTTTGTGTTTTGTAGATGTACATCCGCTGTAAGGTCAATCTGTGTATCGCCACGCTGCCCTCTCAGAAGTGTCCTAACATGTGCACCCGTGCCTTTACCCAAAAAACCCTGGTGGACAGTGTCTATTCCAGAAGCTACACCATCACCTCAAAACCTGTTAGCCTTGTAGTCACCACTCCTCCACCCCGAGTATCTACTGTCCCAAAGCCTGCTGCTACTACCGTAAAAACTACAACTACAACTTTAGCTCCCACCACTACTACTTCAACTATCACCACCACAGCTGCCCAGAACACCACCTCACATGGTAAGATACTTTCTGCACTTCACTGTCTTGTGAATTTCATCCTTTACTATGGCCAGGATTCAACTAAATAGAATATAACTCAAAATCTTCTTTAATAATTTGCCCTGTCAGGTTTATTTGAATTTGGAGTCCACACTGAGCACTAGTTTGATTTGTATGGCAATAACATGGTCAGTTTTACAGAGACAACCTTTCTAAGATGAGAGAGGTGTCTGTGAAAGTAAAAACGGAGAATGACATGGTGCTGAAACCCAAATAAAATTACAGTGGGAAAGATCATGATCAGATACAGGTTCTCTGTAATCCTTGTGAAATGTAAAATATGTGTACAGTAAATGCAACCCTGTGATCTCTCCTTTTTTTCTTTGCAGCTCCAGAACAGACCTCAGCCATAGCAGCTGGAGTGATTTTAACAACTATCAGCATATATCTTCAAAATGTCTTCTTATACTGAACACACTGCTGGATGATGATGTGTCAGAATATGGTACACTACTTTTGTCTGTTTGAGGCACTTGAGTGTTGAATCCCACACATTACTGCTGTGTGTAATATTTAAATTTTTACTCCAAAATGATGAAGCAGAAGTGAGAGCAAACTACATGATTATAAACTCTGTAGGAACTGTTTCACTAAACTGACTTTGAATGTTAGGGAAATTAAATGATGAGGCACAGATAGGGGTCATCCAAAAAAAAAAAATCCCTCTAAAATTGGGCTTGACTCTAGGTCCATCTTGCCCTTGAAAAACCTTAAAAATGGGCTTATGGTTGGGTAATGTGCACTCTTCTATACCTTAAATGTAAAAAAGAAAAAAACGACAAAACTATTTTTGTATTGAAGATTTATTGACTGTACTATTTAACACTTTTGCCAGTGTCATTATTTTTTGTATTTATCAATTGTAGCGCTGCACAGGCTGTTTTAGCCGACTGTTTTAAGAATTCTGAAATGATGGAACCAGACTCACTCTCTTCAGACAAAGTTACACATAAGTTACTGTTTTTTCTTCTTCTACTAACTTTATTAGTTAAATTGATAGAAAAGAATAATCCTGCTACTACAAGCAATATTTAAGATGAAGATATTTAAGGTATGGAAATCCAAGATCCCAACTTAAAAAGTATTTCTCATCAGATGATAAAAAAAAAAAAGCCATGACAAAAAAAAAATCCAAAACATTATTAGTGAATAAAGCCAAGAGCCTAATTCTGAAATATAAAATCAGATGAATCTTATGCTTAAGTTGGCATAAGTTGTCAATTGTAGATATATAAAGAATTGAACTGAACTAAATTAAACTAGTGTGTCAGCTAAACTAAAACTATTTAGGACTTCATTCACAGCCCAACATCCATGTGTTACTGTTTTAGTGAAACACAACCAATATACATAAATTTTACTCCTGTCATTAAAAGCATCCATTAAACTTAATAAATTGACAATTAAATATCAGTTTATCTGTAAAATTGTTTATCATTATATAAATTATGACATATGAAAACACTGAATTTTAGGTCCATGATTTACCCTGCACTTTGGCAAATCATGGCTGTGCCTTTGAGGATGTTTCAGCGGGTCAGAAGATTTTGTTTTGCTCTAGCTCAAGTTTTATGTCAATGCTGTATAGTTCTCTCTTACAGAGCCAGTGAGATTGACAAACCTCCTGCATGTGTAAATGCACAGAAAGATGGTCAGAGGACAAAATGCTGAGAAGTGCTTCCAATTCTGCCGTTCCACGTTCCACGTTCCACTTAAGGTCACTTTAAAAAATCAGTTAAATGTTTTATAGCTCAATTTTAGGTCAAATACTGATACTGGACAGACCTGTACAGATACACAATACAGGTCTCAAATATGGAGGTTTGTGTTGAGAGACTTTTGTGGAAGCACTTATTTAATCTAAGCACTTGTGAATTACTTTCACAGTTTGAAAGTTGAACCCTGAACTGATAAAGTATAATGGGATATAAAAACTGTAACATGAAACAATAAAAGGAATATTTAAAAACAAAATCTTTCACTTGTGTTACTTGAGCTCCAAAGAGTTGAGAAAATCAAACCTTTTTTGTATTCTTGTCTGTTCTTGCTGATAGTTCACACTGACAATATGAGTGTGTGTTTGTGTCTACATAAACCATTCATTATAAAGCTAATATGTACAAACCAACATTAGACAGTGATGCATTTGTAAGAAGTGCAAAGGGCTCTGAAATCAAACAGATAAGAAAATGTGTTCATTTGTAATACATGGATTTATTTACATGAGTTGGACAATTCTTTTCACAGAAAATGTGCATATTCAGTCTAGTACTGAATATGCAAATTTTTTTATAACAATCAGAGTGAGTGTTTTGTCTCAGGTTTATTGATTATCATGCAGCTTTTGTGACTGTCTCGAGTTAATCAGAGCAACTGTCTGTGTCTGATGGTTTTAGTGTTTATAAACCTGTAATACTTACCAAAGAACATAGGTTTTAACAGTTTACATTCAATATCAAGAGGGTCTTGGGCATGTGTGGGTTGTAATTATTTTATCATACACCAGCCAGCCAGAACTTGTAGACAATGTAATGCAATCTAATTGAACAGCTCTACCACATATTCTACAGTGAGCGTCTAAATTTTATTTTATTGTTGATTTGGACACACTGGAGGTTTTATTACTTTAGATTTGATATAGAATATGAAGTGGGGGTCGTAGTGTACAGGAGTGATTCCTATCTTTTTATTCTTTTCATTAAGATACACTGGAGGTGGGATATATTGGATGATCTTTTCAATATAATGCACAATTGTACACCTCCATGGCCAACAAATATAGCTTGTTTAACCATGTCAACGAACACTGAAAATGTAGGAGTTTAACAAAATTAGTATTTATGTTAATCTGTTCTATGAAGTTATTGCAGGTTGTTTATGTGGTTTTGGCAGGTCGGTAAACTTGCTGCTGTTTTGTAACTCGGAGCATGAAGTGAAATGTGAAATAATAGGCGAACATTGCATAATACGACAAGCGCTGCTTAAAAACCCTTGATAAATCCACACACATTCCTCCTTCAATAATCAATGTGAGTTTTAGTGTATAAACATTCCCAGAAATTGAGTTTCAGGCACTCTTATCCATGAAGTATCCAATCCCAGAGTATGAACCAGTCGGGTTTTCTGCCTTTAGTGTATTTGTTTTCATCCTGGAGAGCTGACTAATAACAGTTTAGACTGGGAGCGCTGACCAATCACAGTTCAGAGTGGGAGGAGACAAACCCGCCCTCATGTTAGCCACGCCCCTATGTTCAGGGAACACCGCTTCATACATACTGTTGTTAGCGACGTAGCCTCTACAGATTTTCATTTTTTTAGCATTTCCATCTGCAACCACCTCTCCAAACTTTACTTTTTGTCACACCCCGGTCAACGGACGAGTAGCGGTCTGCTGGTTGAGCTCAGTTTGAGTGGTGTGACGGATCGTAGCTGGTGGCAGTCCTGCGAGGTGAGTTGAAGTCTTTTAGCTTGTTAGCTAAAGATGCTTCTCACTGATGGGGGTCGGTTGTTGTGCTAGCGTAGCATTTGGCTAGCTGCTGTATAACCTTGCCGGACAGACCAAACGGCGGTCTTTCACGTAGTGGTTTACTCGAGAGGAAAACGTTTTGGTGTATTTTCGTCTTGTACTAAAAGAAGGTGTGGTGTTTGAGCAGAGGCTACATTAGCGTTCAGCGAAGCTCAGTTATTCATGGAAAATGTGAAGCTAAGAAGCTAACGGGAATTAGCTGGCATGCTGACGATGTACGGACCGACTTGACAACATGTCTTTGGCTGTAAGTTTGTTCTTGACATACACGACTTTATTTTTGGATTCGTGTTGTAAAATAAACAGTCAGTGAATCAATGAACTGTATTTTAACTGAATTTCGGTCTCTGCTTCACGTTAATGCGACGTAACCGATGTTAGCTTGTTAGCGACCTAGCGGTCTTCATTAGCGAATCACCAAGAAAAGCCAACATCTATACCTGGATATAGTTCAAGATTTAACCACGCTGGAGTAAAGATAGCGAATATGTACGGGACTAAGCAGCCGACGGTGTTGACACGCTGTCAGCTGTTTAGTAGCTTGGTTGTCTTTTCGACATCTATCACCCACAAGCGAGGGGACCGTCACTCAGCCAACACGTCCAGCTCATCTGGATTTTTAGTCAGCATACAACACGAGAGACACAAATCGACAATCTGTCTCTTTTAGTTAAACAATCGTGTAGTTTGTAGATAATAAGTCCGCCTGCTCGCTACATAACTTCGAGCTAGGACGACAGACAGACAGCGTCAACCGTCAGATAAGCGAAAGCGGTGAACGCGCGTCGCCTTCCACAAGCGAACTGACGCGTACGGAAATTCCACCACCATTCATTGTGTGCGGCATATTCGCTGCTAAACTCATGCTAGCAATACGGACAAGGTTCGCGGCGCCACATTGTATCAGCTTTTCTCCAAAGCCACGTTGGATAGCTATCCGATTTTGAGAATGCTGTGGCAAAGTGAAAAGTAAAATGTCCATTCAAGAAGCTGTTTGTATTGTAAAAGAGTCCTCAAATCGAGACAAGTGAACAGCGAGGCTGAAGCGAGTTCAGGCGAATGGTTCGCATGCGGCGGGTCTGTACCCAATTCGGTGTTTGGCAGAGAGGGGGAGGGGATGAGGCAGGGCCACAGCCATCGACCGAGAGTGAGAGAGAGAGAGAGAGAGCCTGCTTGACTGTAAAGTGTCGACTCTCAGCGAAACGTTTGCTATTTTTAGCGGGCAAATTTCACCGTCTTTCACTGCCTGATGGCTTGTTTCGAGTTTCGGCGAATAATATATGAAACCGGGTTTGCGACAGACACGATATCGGCGACTTAAGACGGTCCGCCCTGACGCTGTTTTCCTGGGTGAGCAGTGAGCATCATGTCTGCGCTGCTCAGACCGAGCGAAATGACGTATGTTTAGGGATCATCAAGAAATTACTCTTCTCTGCTTTTATGAACAAAGTGTGCTCAGAGCAATGTGAGCGGGGTTAAACGGTTGTCATTATATGATCGAGTGATATGTACATGCCGGATAGGCACAGGCGCAGTTTATCCGACCTGCTTTTTCTATTTTTTTTTATTTTATTTTCTGCTTTCATGCTCAATGCCTCTCTTTACCAGAAATACTGCTGGCTAGGTTGTCACAATTTTTTCTTAAAAGTTTCACATGTGATCCGACAGGTGAGCTGTTTGAAAACCTGTCAAGAATGCAGAATAACATTGTCAGCAGCTCAAAATTCTTGCAACAATACCTTAAGAAGGTCCAAAAGACATCATGCCTTTTAAGTGCATTAACAAGTGGGACCATAGACTGTGTAACCAGTAACAATGTCCATTTATACACGTAAATTATATAAAATATTTTCTTGAAAGTTCCACAATAAAAATATGACATCAGCCCTTCTGTAGTGAGCAGAACTAAAGTTTTGACAGAATAAGATCAATTCTAAAGTACTAAACATCTTGAAGGATTTAATTAGTCTGTCAAAACGTAATGACAACAGAGTATTCACTATCTAAATATACTTGAGTGTATGGGTGGGGTGTAAATAAGTCTTTAACACTGAAAACTTTATCCAAACCCATTACTTGTAAGACAGTCCCTAACCAGCCACCACAGCCATTCTCTTCCAGTGATAGTATAACAGCAAGAGTCATAACAAATGACTTGTCGTGGTTTCTCCCTAATTCTTATTAGTTAAGTTTGTGATTTTTCATTTTGTGGATACATTGTTATGCTCTTACCGTGTCTTTAGTGCTTGATGTGAGTTGGTCTTTAAAAATGTCACTGTGAAGTGGCTGCAGAGTGGGAGAAGGGTGTCAGCTCAGCTCAAAGCTCTAAAAGCTGTGGACAAACAACAGTATTTAAGTTGTTTCCTTCAGGCTACATTGGTGAAAAATGTTAAGAGAAATGCTTAACATTACATTCAGAACACAGACATGAAAAAGACTTGACTTATAAATATGTGTTTGTTCCTCTTGACTGGAGTTAGGAGCTTCTAGTGAAAGCCTGTAACAGACGCAACAGTTGCAATCAATTCTTCCTTTATGTGACACTTGTAACAATATTTGTTTTAAAATAAAATAAATCTCAGGTGGAGTGGCTATAACATTAAATAGCAAAGGTCCATGCCTTAAACATACTTTTCTGAAGCACTTTCAGCTGAGGAAAAGCTGACCTCTTGCTAATGTCATCTGTGGAAGTATTTCTGTCCACTCCTCACTTCTTCTGTCCCTGTATTACTTCACAAATAAGTCATCCTCACTTTCTTCAAGACTGTTTGACTTAATTATGTTGTGTGAGTTCACTAACTGATTCACACCCAACAGACTGTTTACTGTCTATCTGCCTCTGTCCACCCTAGCCCCTTTGAGTATGCGTGTACAATGAAGAGGCGTGTGGAGGACCAGGAACCAATATTTGCGCCCCAGCAACAGCAATCACGCCGCCCCCCAGTTCAAGGAGTTGCAGACAGCTTCCAGCACAGGGCCCTCGCCCAGGCCCCGACTGTGAAAGAGACAGCTGCGGACAACATGCAGCCATCTACTGGAATCCAGTATTCTCTCCCCCAAGGCTACCAGGTATGATAGAGTCAGTGGAATTTACTTGTACACCACATAGCAGCAGTTTCGCATTGGTCTTTGGCAAATTTTCACAGAGCTTAAAACTCCAATAGAATTCCCCTCCACATCTTAAGAAGAATCTTACGAAAATAAAGCAAAAGTAAATCTGCTAAAATTTTATTTACAGTACAAATTCAATCTCAGTCATTTCGGCAAACAAGCTTCAACCAATACATTTTCAACAACAATTGTATTCTTTTTATTGCCATTTTCCAGTGAGTTTCATGCAATCAAAAGCTACAGCAATAGTTATATGTCGCTGCTGTAAGTACCGAACCACTGGTTGCCATTAAAGATCAAAGTACACGGTTGAAAGTCAAACACAAGTAAGTTCACAGTGTTACCAGCCCAGTACATTGGATTGTGACACCGTATGAAACATTTTCAGCCCTGTCATCTGTACAGTTTAATAATCTTGGAGCTCTTATGTTGTCTTTATACAAAGGTGCCAACAATGCCTCAGAGCACAAGTGGACATGGACATAACAACGCTGCACCTCATGTTGGTCCCCATGCACAAAGCCTGGCAGTGCAGTCACAGGGCCCTGCAGTGGTCCAAGGACATGTCCATCCACCCGCACCCATGACATCAACACAAGGACAGCAGCAGTTTCAGCGGCTGAAGGTACAGTTATATCAACAAATACAGACTCTCAGGTTAGACTAAAAAAGTGATCTCGTTGTGTTGATGCATGATAGCATTTAGCTGATCAAGGAATCATACGGTATCTACTGACTCAAGCAGATAGGAGAATGCCAGATTCCAGGAGGAGGATCTTAAAGATCGTTTTTAACTCTTCTCTTTTCAGGTTGAAGATGCCTTGTCGTATCTGGATCAAGTGAAGCTGCAGTTTGGGAACCAGCCCCAAGTTTATAATGATTTTCTTGATATTATGAAAGAGTTCAAGTCACAGAGGTACGTTCTACATTTATCACCACTATCACTGACCAATGCATTGAGACTTTGTCCTCTTAGCATGCTGATGTTACTGTTATTAATTTGCTGTAATGGATTATTTTACTACAGCATAGACACGCCTGGGGTCATCAACCGTGTGTCCCAGCTCTTCAAGGGCCACCCAGACCTCATCATGGGGTTCAACACTTTTTTGCCACCTGGATATAAGATTGAGGTTCAAACCAACGATTTAGTGAATGTGACCACACCGGGTCAGATCCACTACATCACTCCTCATGGGATTTCTGTTCAGAACATCCCTGTAAGTGGAGCATCCAGCCAACCTCCAAGCCACCACCAGCATCAGAGTCTGCCACAGACTACAACACACACAACCACCACTGTCACTCCACCAGTTCCTGCACAACCTACTCCAAATAAAACCAGCAAGGTAGAGCAGAGCTTTCTTTATTGGCTGCTTGTGCCTCAGTGTTCTCAACTTAAATCCATGATGTTTTGTTACTTTTGTCTAGTAATGAGCTTTGCACACAACAAATGTTTATGTGATGATTTTAACAACACACTTGTGCTCCACTCTTCATTCCCATCAGCCAATCCAGTCTCCAGCACATACACCCACCAGCCAGCCAAACCCATCCATCCCATCCTACGCCTCACCACGCTCACCCTCAGTTCAGTCCCACACCCCTGTGAGCAGCACGCCGTCCAGTGCACCACCCCTCCAAAACAACCAGCCCGTGGAGTTCAACCACGCCATCAATTATGTCAACAAGATCAAGAACCGTTTCCAGGGTCAGCCAGACATCTACAAGGCCTTCTTGGAAATCTTGCACACATACCAGGTCAGACGATAAGCCCAACTAAAAAATTAGCACTACAATATTAGCATGCTGTTGGCACTTAACAACAGCAGCAACAAGTGTGTGAGTTTAATCACCACTGTTTTTTTGTTATCATCAAATTTCCAGAAAGAACAGCGAAATGCAAAAGAGGCCGGAGGCAACTACACCCCAGCACTGACCGAGCAGGAGGTCTACACACAGGTGGCCAGACTCTTTAAGAACCAGGAGGATCTTCTCTCAGAGTTTGGACAGTTTCTGCCTGATGCAAACAGCTCCATGGTGGGTGTTACCTGTGAAGAACAGAAAATATGAAAGTCTCACTGTTTGAATAATGGCCCTGTTATGTTTTATAAAAAAGACTGATGACACAGCAGGGGAGTTTATGCACCAAAAAGCCCCACTGAAAAAAAAGTTGAAGAGTTCTTTTGTTATATGTCATTTTCTTGATCTTTAGGTCCATTTTGTTTTAAAGTAGAGGTTTAGCTTTTTTTGCAGCACTGGTATACAAATTTTACAGTGTATTGGGTATAAAGTAAACAGCATCTTGCTAGAGACAAGTGCCTTACCATGTGATCAGATATTGCGTATTCTTCTGAAAAACCCCTCACCACCTTGTTTCAGTTTACGCTGCTATAAAAGTTAACCACATTTAATCAAATTGGCTGGTTTACTTCCTGCCATTCATGTTGTTGAGTTTCAAAATGAGATTCATATGTTTTTTTCAGCTGCTGGGCAAGGCCATACCAGACAGGGCAGATTCTGTGCGTAATGATCATGGCGGCACAGTGAAGAGACCCCTACTGAACAACAAGCAGAGGCTGAGCCAGAATGGGCTGACAATCAGGAGACCTGGTGGAGCGGGTCCCACACCGCCTGTGAAGGTACAAATCACCCTACATTGAACACAGTCCGGCAGCATCTACAGAGATTTTGAACAATTTCTACTAAAAAAATGTATTTATCGAGGGTGGGGTACTGATCATTTTATTTTGAAAAAGTAGAAAATGTGAAATTATTTGTTGTTAAATCCATTCAAAGGTATTTTTCTGTTCAACTGGAACCTTCATCCTAGAACTAAACATATGAGGTCTACAATAATCATTATTTTGTGTCCCCCATCTGGTCCAGAAGAAACCCAAAATAATGGGGAAAGACCATGGCTTGACTGAAGTCAGCAAACACAGCACCAGCACCGAAACCATGTTCTTTGAGAAGGTCAGTGTTGTTTTTCAGTGTCATAACTGATTATTTAAACACAGAGGATATGATGATTTATTTAAAGGGGTAGTTTGTTAACTTTTCTCCCTCTGTCATCATGAAAATGTGAATAGGTGAAGAAGGCTCTCCGGAGCTCCGAGGCCTACGACAACTTCTTGCGATGTCTTTACATTTTCAACCAGGAAGTGATCTCCCGTGCTGAGCTGGTCCAGTTGGTCATCCCATTTCTTGGGTAAGTTGAATCACAACATGGTCTGTCCGTCATGTAGACTCACATGCCCACATTTACAGTCTATTATATATAGATTTAGATAGACTCTTTGGCTGACTGCTGGATTATTTCCTTTTTTTAAAAAGTGCTTACTCCAGTCTGAAAGTATTTGAATTTCTCAATCTTTTGATTTTGTTTTAACACTAAGACAATTTTGTCATCACTTGATTTGTATTTGAATGCAGCATAAAATTAATTATACACTTGTATAATTTATTTATTGCTACATTCAATGTGTTGCCACTGGTAATGTTGATTAATAGATGCGTAGCCTCACACCAAATTTCACATATATTGTTTGATTGACAGAAAATTCCCAGAGCTTTTTACGTGGTTTAAAAATTTCCTGGGCTACCGGGAGTCTTGTCACGGGGAATCGAGCCACGCAGAGAGTTTACCTAAGGAGCGCGCAACAGAGGGCATCGCCATGGAGATCGACTATGCTTCCTGTAAGAGGCTGGGGTCCAGCTACAGAGCACTGCCAAAGAGCTACCAGCAGCCCAAGTGCACAGGAAGGACGCCGCTGTGTAGAGAGGTGAGTCACTGAAGGAAGTGTGCCTGTTAGAGGTACTTCTGTCGTAACCTCCACTAACTGAGCTACCAAGTACAATAGTACTCAGATATTTAGTGGTGATAATAGTCACAGGAGTCGTAGCTGGGTTTGTGTTTAATTGCTGCATGAAGGATAACATGTTTACATACACAATGCAAAGTGAAAAGAGCTTCTGATATGATATCAGTAATACTGCAAACAGTTGGTTGTTGAATGAAGCAGGGAGGATTTTAGTGTTTTAAATGGTCATTATTCATTCATTGCATCTCAACAAACTTAAAAGCCTTTGGTAGGCGTTTAACCTGGTAATGAATTAGAAAAAAATGAATACTGATGAACTGCTGCAGCCATGTCGGCAAAATGACTCAAATCTAAAGTTGCTCACAGAAGCTTTAAACTGAACTGAATATCGTGTTGCAGGTTCTGAACGATACGTGGGTGTCGTTTCCATCGTGGTCTGAGGATTCTACATTTGTTAGCTCCAAGAAAACACAGTATGAGGAGCACATTTACAGATGTGAAGATGAGCGGTTTGAGGTGAGGATTATTCTGTCCACTTGCTCTGAAAAATAGGGTAAAAAAATAACAGCAGCTTTTTGCCAGATTGTGTTTGTTTTGTCAGCACTTTTTCTTTTTCTAAGTTAAAAAAAAATACAAACTACAATAAGTATTTAGATATCCAATAAAACCTTGCCATTGGCACTACCAATCACAATGAGATACTGTTGTCAATCATTGTCTTTATCTCCTTTAGCTGGATGTTGTGCTGGAAGCCAACCTGGCCACGATACGAGCCCTGGAGACAGTGCAGCGGAGGCTTTCTCGCATGTCAGCAGAGGAGCAGCTGCGCTTCAAGCTAGACAACACAATGGGGGGCTCCTCAGAGGTCATTCACCGCAAAGCTATCCAGAGGATATATGGAGACAAGGCCCATGACATTATTGACGGGCTCAAAAGGAACCCAGCTGTGTCTGTCCCCATAGTGCTAAAAAGGTGAATAGTACGATTTTTTTGTTTAATCCAGAGCTTTCAGTTTTTTTATTTAATATCTAAGATTGTGAAGGGTAACCCTCGGGGATGTTCTCTTTTGTTGCGGCTGTTTCAGATTAAAAATGAAAGAGGAAGAGTGGAGAGAAGCTCAGAGAGGCTTCAACAAGATCTGGCGGGAGCAGAATGAAAAATATTACCTGAAGTCACTCGACCATCAAGGCATCAACTTCAAGCAGAATGACACCAAAGTGTTGCGCTCCAAGACGTTACTGAATGAAATAGAGATGCTGTATGATGATGTAAGGAAACTCGTTCTCTTGAAAGTACTTTGTCTTCTTTTGTGGGGACTTTTGTGATCATGTTTGATTCTGAATTTACGATAGTTCAGTCCTTTTTTATTATTGTTTTTATGCTTTAAAGGGAGTTTGACTTACCAGCATTTTTCATACAGAATACAACAATCTAATAAATTGACCCTCTAAATTCACCTCTTTCTAATCATGTCTGTGACTTGTAGCGCCAGGAGCGAGCATCAGAGGAAACTTCCACACCTCCGCCAAGCGGTCCTCACATGACGCTGACCTACGAGGACAGCCAAATCCTGGAGGATGCGGCTGCTCTGATAATCCACCATGTAAAACGACAGGTGAGCATTCAGAAAGAAGACAAGTACAAAATCAAGCAGATCATCCACCACTTCATCCCTGATCTGCTGTTCGCACGGCGAGGTGAGCTCTCTGACGTGGAAGAGGAGGAAGATGAGGAGGAAGAAGACATGGAGATGGATCAAGATGCCCCCAAGAAGCACAACGGCCTGCCAGGAAGCAGCCCGTCGAAATCCAAACTCCTTTTCAGCAACACAGCGGCTCAGAAGCTGCGGGGCACAGACGAAGCTTATAACATGTTCTTCGTGAACAATAACTGGTATATCTTCCTTCGTCTTCACCACATCCTCTGCTCTCGTCTGCTGAAAATCTACGAGCAAGCGGAGAAGCAGATCGAGGAGGACAGCCGTGAGAGGGACAGGGAAAGAGAGATGCTGGGGCTGAAGAGGGAGAAAAACGAAAATCCAGCAATCCAACTCAAGATGAAAGAGCCAAGTAAGTTTCACTGTTTTCAAGAGAGCATTTATTTAGACTCCAGTTCAAAACCACGAATAAACATGATTTAATTTTCTGTGTTCTGCCTGCAGTGGATGTGGATGTGGAGGACTATTACTCTGTGTTTCTGGAAATGGTGCGTAATCTTCTGGATGGAAACATGGAGCCAGCTCAGTACGAAGACTCTCTGAGGGAAATGTTTACTATCCACGCCTACATCGCCTTCACCATGGACAAACTCATCCAGAGCATAGTCCGGCAGGTCAGCACATTCAGCTTCATATCTCCTTCATTTCACTATGCATTTTTCTTTTCTTCATAGTGCAGTTGAAATCAAATGCTACTGTTATTGTGCTTAGCTTTTCTTTCTTTTTCTATCTTTTTTTTCCTACAAAATGTCATTCATTAGATTTAAATGTCTTGTCGCAACATGCATTGTGAGCTTGATGACATACCTTTTATGCTAAAACAAATACTTGCATATCAAAAAGACATACATTCGAAAAGAAAAGCAAAAAACATTTTTTTTCATGGCCCGTTTTATAAAAAGCTCATTTTTTGCTTTCGCAGCTCCAGCACCTCGTAACCGATGATGTCTGTGCACGAGTAACGGACATGTACCTGAGTGAAAGTGCCAACAAAGCCACGGGAGGAACACTGTCCACACAGACCTCCAGAGCCGCAGCTGAGGGGGTCTACCAGCGCAAAGCAGAGCAGCTTATGTCCGATGAGAACTGCTTCAAGGTAGGTCAAACCTTGAATGGTCTGTTTCTGTAGTAGGTGGGTCTAAGCTGCTTTGTTTATGTAACCATCCCTTCTTGTGTTTGTCTAGTTGATGTTCATGAAGAGCAGAGGATCTGTCAGTCTGGCTGTGGAGCTGCTGGACACAGAAGAGGAAAACTCTGATGAGCCAGCAGAGGCAGAGGTGAGACTCAGACTATATTCAGCTTTAGTTTATTAGTAAGTGTATTTTGTGCACCTACAAAGTTACAGCCTGTGTTTGAATGTGAAGCTCTATGTTCATTTTTATATTCTGTTCTCAAAAACTATTCATCATCTGCAAAAAAGTGCATAAATAGAAAGTTGAGATTCTTGTGAATTTGTTCTGCATTTTTACAAACTTTCCAACCATCCAAGTCACTGCTGTATCACATCATGCATTGTCTGCTCTCCGCTGCCTTGTCCTCTACAGAGGTGGTCCGACTATGTGGACAGATACCTGAACTCAGATTCTGCATCCCCTGTGCTACGTGAGCATCTTGCCCAGAAGCCGGTATTCCTGCCCAGGTGAGGCCTCAGCCATGTCTTCCTCTTATTTGAACACTTACAGCTTCTGTCCTGAGGCTCTGGTCAGCCAAACAGCTACTCCACTGTTGCAAAGCCAAACCAGCTGCCAAACACCAATCTGTTTTCACAGACAAACGGTGGCATTTGCACAAGCCTAACCCAGAAAGTACTCTTCGATCTCAACAGTTTGTGCTGCAGAGTGCTTTCTTTATTCCAAACGGGCCCAGATCTGTGGTTAATTTTAGAGTTACTCCACATACAGTGAAGTTCTTTCAGTGCCTGAACACTCTCTTTTATGTCAAGAGTCTCATGGGCTGTGAACATGACTTTGGTTTCTGACTTATGCCTCACATGGAAGTTTGCACTTTATATGGCCGCCTTTTAGAAAAAAATAATGGAGGTTATTTATTCAGTGATTCAGTTCCTTTTTAATAGGAATTTATTTATTGTAGTTGTTATGGTAAAGTTTTAAATGGTTTTCAGCTTGATCATGGGTTTTAATTTCGACTTCGGCAGACAGAAACAAGAAATCGTTTGGTTTAATCATTCTCATTGTGTTTAAATGACCTGATGGTTTTCATTGTGTAATGTAGGGGGAAAAGTAATTGCAAGCAGCAACTGAAAGCAAAACAGATGGGTTTCACATTTAAATTTTGTTTTTCTATTTATACATCATCTCTGATCTGAGTTTGAGAGACTGAAGCTCTTGTGTTGGACCGGAAAGAGTTAATGACAGGACAGTGAAGTCATGGTTTCTTTTTCTACCTTCTAATGCCCTTTGTTTGTGAATGTATTCAGATCAGAGGTCCTGTATGTGACTTAATCACTGTTGTAAATGTTCAAATGTCCATTTTGTTGAAGTCTGTTATACTCAGTGTTATGTTTGTAATAGTTTTCAGTAGATAACGGTGCACTCCTGTTGCAGCTGTCGGTTGCAAAACTGTTTTTTTTTCTTCTGGTTTGACAGAAAGTAGTGCTCATAAGTTTTTAAAAACTCTGGTCAAGCACATTATCTGCAACACTTGTACAGAGAAGTAGGGTTTGTAAATAAACTGATTGTCTAAATTGTATTTTCATGTTGGTGTATTTTTTCCTGGACATTTCAGAGCTGTGCATGGAGATGTGGTTGTGTTCACTTGTTTCAAAGCTCCGGTCGAGTGCTGCACATTAGCCCTGTCTGTCATTGCTTTTTGGTGCTATGTTTTTATTTTTATATTTCTTTTGAGATGGCTGTCCATTACCATAAACATTATAAAAGGGATTTTTTAAAACACACACAAAAATATTCGTATTTCTCTTTCTATTTAACCCATTGCATAAATCTGATTCCTGACTGATTTATCAGTGGGCTCACCCACATCTTGTCCTTCCTTTTTTTTCATTAAATCTATGAGAGATCAGCAGCACAAAAGAGGAAAGATCCTTCCCAAAACAGAAAAAAACAACAACTATAAAGGCAGTCAGAAAAAATCCAGCAGTTTCTTTTTTCAAGTTGTGTTGGGTCTTCATCTCATGATCATGACACTCTGTACATTGTTGGTGAAAGTGTGCGCATCAAAGTATCCTCAGCTCATATTTTTGATTGGTTTCCGATCAGGCAGCGATTTTGTAGTGTTTGTTTCTAACAGTTTTTACTTGAAATTGGCCTTCCTGTCATGTCTTTAAAGTGGAGCCCTGAATGCAAAAATATGCTTCATGGTTTCAGTCCCCGCTCACCTGTACCCTCAGTGGTAAGTACACATTTAAGACTTTCATTCAGGTGGGGTGACTAATTGCATTTTTTTTAAACCTGCACAAAATCAGGAACTATCGTCAATGAGGGGAATATGATACTGAATTTGAACTTGATGTGACTGTGCAATGGAAGTGCACTGTACAGAAAATTACGACTGCTGCCTCTGCTGCTCTTATAGATCCACTTTTCCCACGAATGACTCCCTTTCTAATTCTGTTACTCGGTGAGTTGCAATGCATGGGTTTCCAAATAAATGTTTAAAGGGACAGTCCTCTCAAATTTTGCTATACTCTTTCAAATTTGCTCAATGTCATGTGCCTGACCTCATTGCCTAGCTGTTAAATCTCTCTGTGCATATTGTGAAACATAAATTGTTTGATATAAATCTAGTGATAACGGCCAACAGATCTAGGAAATTTGTGCGAACTTTCCCTGTAAACGTGATGCACCTCTTTGATGTGTGGAGTAATCAGACAGCTCGTCTGGCATCAGTACTTTTTGTTCATGGTTGTGGATTTTGATTTGACTTTCAGAAATCTGAGACGGATAAGGAAGTGCCAGAGAGGATGGGAACAGCTACAACAAGACAGGTTGACCAAGGGCCCCTCAGACAAGTCCCAGGATGGCAGCAGTGACCTAAAGATGGAGTGCATGTTCAAACTCAACTCCTACAAGATGGTGTACGTCTGCAAGTCAGAAGACTACATGTACAGACACACAGCACTCACACGGGCTCATCAGGTAAGCACAGAAAATAAAAGTCATGTTTGTACCATAATGGAGAAGAATGTCTGCCTGATCTATTATTAACAGTTTAAGCTCAATAGACAGAATGACAGATGGGAAATGCTAAACAAGATGTGGGTATTTCAATGTTCTGCATTTTGACAATATTTGCAAGGGTCATCACGAACAAGCAATACTGCTTACTAAATCTAAATGTTGCGTATTGAGTTTTTAGCAGGTTATGAAACAGTCTCTGAAATAAAATCTGATGCAAGAGCCTTGGTTTAAAATTTGTAAGGTGATGTGCCAGTCTATTAAAAGGAGCAGATACTCCTTGGCAGTGTTGGTATTTGATAGAGAACTGATCCTTAACTTGACCTTTTCCTCCTCAACTAGCTTGTGCTGTGTTAACCAAATGTAAGATAACCTTTTCTTTTGAGACAGATTTTTGCGAATGGACTTTCAAAAGACTACAAGGCAGGGATTAAAGTTCTCAAGTTGTTTCATTCTGGTTGTTGTCTCTTCCAGTCACACCAAAGGGTCCATACACGCTTGCACCGACGCTTTCAGGCCCGGCTCGACTCCTGGGCCAAGGAGCACGTGACCAGCGACATGGCTGCTGACAACCACAAGTGGCTGATGGGAGAGGATCAGGGGGGCCTGCTGCCGTGTACCACCACCTCTAACCCTGAGGTCCTCCACTATCTCAACATTAACAAGTACAGGGTGAAGTACAAAACACTGTAGTGTGTACCCAGGAAAGATAAACTGTGACGGACTTCACATACACAGTAGCTTCATGCAGACTTTGCCCACCTGCTGTCACTGGATTCAGTCCTCAATCTTTGGTCTAATCTTCGGTACAGCCGTCAATCAACCAGATTTCTGCAAATGTTTTAGATCCGATTCAGGAAATAAGTCCTAACTTTCAAGCTCACACTGCAAATCCTGCAACAGTGAGAAATAGATGTTTTATACATTTGAAAAAATGTACTTGTCTCAGTAATTGCATAATTAAATGTAAGTGAATTATAGAGTTTTACATGAGAAGCACTCCTTAAACTTCTGTGCAGAGCAGGAAACATTTTTCACACAAAAGTAAGCATTTCATACCTACAGCTCAGCAGCTTAACGATAAAAGTGCTTTTTTATTCCTTTTTTTTTTTTCTTCTTTTTCTCTCGACCAGCTCATTATTTATCAGGAAATACAAACAAAAACCTCAGTTTAGTCTCTTCCAAGAACAAGCAACAGTGACTTCAGTCGAATACTTCTTCAGACCTGCTGAGTCTGGCTCAGCTGTAAACTTCTTTAGTCTGTGAATGTTTTCTGTCCCGGTGGTGACGGTGCAATAAGGCACTATATAATATACGATAATTTATGACCGCCCATTCACTTTGTGTAAATATATTGTTTATATCTAGATTTTTTTGTTAGATTTAATTGAGGTGTAGCGTACATTAACAAACTCATAGTATTGATCTTCAAATGGAGTCAGCAGAGAAGTTTATTCAGGAAATGCCACATTTGAACCGTTTCTTCTTTTAACCAAAGGATGGATGTTAATGTGACCTTTTTCCTCTATGATCTGTTGAATGTGTCGCCCCCCCAGTTGAAAACGACACATTTTCTGTGTTTCAACCTTTTTCTGAGCGTTTCTACCGTCAGTCTTTGGCTTCTGTTTCACTCCTGATGATTGAATGTAGCTGAGCAGCAACTTTTCCCTTTTTTTAGAACAGTTTGTATCCGTTTGTCAGTGTACTGTGGTCTTTACAGTACAATCCACTTTTTCTCTTATTGAAACTTAACCAAATGGTTAGAGTCTGTGCAGCAGATTCAGTGGTCACTCAGTGCATCAAGTTTAAAAACTGTACAGAAGTTGTGTTTATTTTTTACGCACAGTGTTGACTACAAACACTGACTGTGTATAGTGTGTCTGTACATGAATGTCAACCATGTGACTTGTGTACAGTTTCAAAGATTTACAGAACAAGCAAGCAATAATTCACCCTGTTGTAGTTTATAATAGCTCTCAGTTTGTATTTCTCGCTGAAATACAAATGTGAATGTGGTTTTCCCTTCAAAGAGGGATGTAAAGTAAGTATTTTTAATGCCTTTTTCTCTCTGCAGTTAGTTTTAATGAACCCGGACTGGTCCTGTAGAGATCCAGGGAGAGATAAACACCACATTAAATGCTGTTAAGTGTTCACAAAGGAAAATTAACATACAGGCAGGATTGTTTTCTTTGGATTAACTTGTGAATTAAAAAAAAACAGATCCTTTAAATTTCAAACAGGCTTAACATGAACAGGATAGATGTAAACACATCAAAATGTCGAAGACAGAAGTTTAGATTTGTGAAAAGATAAAAATAAGAAACATTATTCATCCTTCCAACATTGTCCTGAACTTTTAGACATGATGGTCAGTATCATAACCAGCTTCAGACAATCTTGGAACAGTTTATTATCGGGTTTTTATTTTTATATTTCCTGTGTTTGACGTTGATCAACACAGGAAGTCCTGCAGAGCTGATTGTATATAAAAGCATTGTTTGTACCTCGTTCAATTTGTCTCTTCTCTTGACTTTTACGATGTTGTAAATGAGTGTTAGTACAGTGTTTGGCATTAAAAGTTCCTTTAAATACATGAAAACTCCGTTGACCGCCTGCTTTTTCCTTGTCAATACGGGCCTTTTTCTGACTATGTCAAACAAAAGTCTGTAATAATATCAGTGAAGCCTTAAACATAATTAATCAAACTGAAAGAAATTACACTTTGATCGTTTAATTTCCAATGATAGAAAAATAATATTCACAAAAGGGAAAAACAAGCCATAAAAAAGCTGATGGAATTGTAACTTTTCACAAAAAAGTGCCAATATTTGTAGGTGTGGAGTTTGATGTCAACAATCTCATGCTGTCAGTTTTCAAACTGAAAGATGAATTTGAGTGGAAACTTGAACTTTGAAGGACTCGAAAGTCGGCTACACTCGAACATAGACCCTGGTGCAGACCACATCATTGGCTCCAAAGATCTGAAACGAGATCGAACAGGAGAAGAATTTTGTTCAGTATTTCTGTCATGTCATGCAGCATTTCTCAGAAATCTAAACTCTTATTTCCTAACTCTTAGAAGCACAAAGGCAGATGTAATTGGGATTTGACTCGGCTTCATTGTGATTCAGACGGTCTCATTATCCAGAGCTCACACTTTAGCCCCTTTCACACATTCACTTCCCCCCCCTAAAAATTTCCTGACATTTACCGTGTGGGTTACGTGTGAACAACTTTATCTGCTCATCCTGACCTTGTCTGGACTTTTTTCTGTCAGCTTCCAACTCAAATGTCAGAGTGCAGTAGAGGTGAGCTGACACCAAGCAGAGCTTCTCTCATACTCTTCCTGCTGATTGTAGTTTCCTGTATTTTACTTTCAATGGTTTTGTTTCTGTTGTTGAAACATCCTTTTTCACATTACAGTGATTTTTACTACATAACAGTCACAGTTATAAAAAACTCTTCCTCATGCTCCTGCACACTCTTCCCAGTCCCCTTCACCCCCCATAAACCCAATAGTAGTTTCCTGGAAATAATGTCCTAAAATTATCCAGAAAATGTCAGGAGAGCATGTGTAAAAGAGGCTTTAAATTACAAAAAGTAAAAATCTGCATTTTCAAAAAGTTGAGATTAAATTTCAGTGAGTGTATCACACATTTAACTATGAAATACAGTTGTAGCTTTAAAGATGGACTTATTGAATAGAAAGCCCATCTGCACACAGATTTCCCTAGATAAACCTTTCTTGGTGCAGTTGAAGTAATTGTCCCAGCTTGCATATTTGGGATAATACACTCCAATTAGCATGCACAACATAATTTACTTGCATAAAATATTTTATCTCTTTAAAATGTGGTGGTATGAATAAGTGGCTGCAGAGCTATCAGTATAATTATCCACTCTTTTTATTCAGCTCTTCCACTCTATTCATTGTAGACCTATAAATTTCTCGCTATTCAATGTACAACTCATTTCTGCTGCTTTTTTATTTCCACCTCTAATTGCTTAAATGTCTTCTAATGGCACATTTTCAATCTGATACACACAGCTGCCTCCTAAAGAAACAGAAGTGACAAAAACTGAGTCTAAAATGAGGGAGAGAAAAAATCATTGGGTGCCCCCCCCAACCCTTGGGTTATGGGTGTACATGTCCAAGTCCAAAGATTAATGGGAGTCCCAGGGGCATAGCGTTATGGCTCACTGCTGCGCCACACATCATCATTACCTCAGGCCATGAAATGTAACGGGAAGAGGGGGAAACGAGTCGCTGCGGTGAAAAATGGAGCCGAGACGACTCCATCTGCCACGTGGCGCAATGCCAAGGGAGACATTATCTGGAGGTAACACCAGGGTCCATTGGCATTTCTCAACAGCGTGATCAATGAGACCAATTAAATCCCGCAGGAGGACACACACAGATTCAGCTCCCCGACACCATCACGGCCACACGATTTCTCCTGGCTCCAGTCTCATTATAAAGTAGCCGATGCAGGACTGTATTAATCTTTAAAAATCAATGATTATTGGCTTAAAATGTAAAGCAAGAATATAAGGTTCCCTGCATGGATAAGTAAAAGAGTAATTTTTCATTCTTAAGCATTTATCCTCCTCTGCCTTTTCACTGTGGACTCTCCCAGTGGTCATTAAAGTCCTCCCATCTCACATCGAGTGCAGTCAGCCACATGCTGTCTTCATTAAGCCCTCCGTCCATCCATCTCTCCCAGAGAGCCTTATGTCCTCATCTGCTGGCCAGTGCTTCTCTTCAAGTTTATGTGAATTTTTCTGTTTACGCTGAAGGATTTATCAGATTTGTATGTGAGGAGGGAGGAAAGCGAGCTGGAGAAGAGGATGGGATGTGTTAGGTTTTAGTTTCCCGGGCAACAAAATACTAAACTGGTGCTACCATAGGCGTTAGCTAACAGATGAGGCATTACACCTTTGTCCCATGCTGATTGAGAAGTTAATGTAACTGTTGCAGACAGGAAAGACACTCGATCACTCCATCTTGTACCCCAAATATCAACATATAAAGTAAATTCAACATTAACAGTGCAGTTACTCGGGGTGAGGCACAGCTCAAGTTTAATTGAGGAGTCTGAAGTGATGCACTGTTTAGACCAAAGCCCAGACCAGTACTGAGAACCTTTTCACATAGAAGAGTTCACAGTGACATATCTCAGTATCGTTTGTTTCTTCTCTTCAGCATCATTCAAATATAAAAACCACAGAGACACTTTAACGGATGTTTAGCTCGCAGAACACTGATGGATGTATCTGATCTAAACGCACAGTGTGTCCTTTAAAGTCTCATACTTTCTCACCCACAATTTAACCTCACATGCCGATCAGATTACAGCCTCATCACGCCAACATGGACACACACACACACACCCTTATCTTGAATAAAAACACATTTGCTCTTGTTCAAAGCCTTCCTCTCGGTCCAAATCACAGCCCCTCTGAAATATTTTCCTGATTGGTTCTTGTGAGGCACGTAACAGTAAAACAGAGATCTTCATCACCTCAAAACTGGCCTCTTTCTTGTTGTCCATCTGGACAATAAAATCAACCAGACCCAGATGTTTACAGTAAAAAAAAAAAAGGAAAAGAAACGATTTGTCTCTGAAATCCTGAAACTGCCAGGAACTGAAGTGTTTCTGATGGATGCAAGATCACACAGAGCTGTCTAAGTGCAAACGTCTGGGAGGGAAGTGATAATTTATTCTTCTTTTGAAATGTAGAGTAAGATTTCGACCAGACCCAGACCGTGTCACTGAAAAATAGCATTATATACATTTGATTTTAGCTCATTGTGTCTCTTATTTGTTTGATCCTGAATCCAGCAGCAGGATAAAAATCTTTTTTATTCAGTCAGGGATGTGATCTACATTCCAGACTCTGTAAATCTCTCTCTTAATCTAATTACCCACGTGTTTTCCTCCTGTTTTTTTCCCATCAAAAATAATAAATCATAATATCACATCTCCCAGATACAGACATCTTTATCCACACCCTTATTTGGCAAAACAGAGAAACTCAAGAAAATTGAATGATTTATTCAAAAGGCCTCAAGAGATCAGAACATTTTTAAAAAACTACAGTGTGTTTTGGACAAATATTGACCAGATCAGTTTACATCTTAACATCTGGTGTCACCATCTAATTAATATATCTCTGGTTAGATTTGGTTTCTGCCTTCAATGTTGGAAAATAATCCCAGTTTTGGTTATCTATCCAGAACTCTAATTAATCTGTTTGTTTCAATTCCCTTTGTAATCTGCTGAGTGTCGCCTAATAGTCATAAAATGTGTCTCCTGAAAGTCCTAAACTGCAAGTTTGAGTCTTCAAATCTTGATGACTACATTCAGCAGTACTAAAGCTGCAGATTTAACATCATGGAGGACAAAGAAACGAAAAAATTTGACCTTTTAAATCTTGGAACATTTTTAACCACATGCACCAGTATGTGCTAAGTTACTCAGCAGCATAGAGTATTTTGCACAGAGACAACCTAGCGATGTCCCTCAGTTTCCAAGCTCTATGTGTGCAAGGTAACCCAGCCTGATACCTTCTCAGTCGAATCAGTATCTAGTTTTAATATTCAGGTGTGCCATACTTCACTGTCAGAGCAGCAGTGTTCGAAGTCAGAGTCAGTCCCTTCAGCCAATCTCTGGTTTCCTTACTGGCACAGAGAGAAGCAGCAGGAAAGGCCCCTGCTGTTACTGACAGTGACCTCCAAATCTGACACCTCATCCCACTCTACAAAACATCTGAACATCTGGTCATCGATCTGCTGAGACTTCAGATGGAAATGAGAGTCATTGTTTGGACATCCTCATTCAGGCAGATGGGAGTAAAACAGCTGAGAGCCTCTCTCTCCGAATCTGACTCATAAAGACGTCTTTTAGCTTTGATTGTTTTGAAAGAGAAGCGAGAGATGATCCCGAGGAGACGTGAAACTTTAATTTGTCTTTCAGTACAGAGATGCTTTCATGTATGATGAAGGTCCACAGCTGCCTCTTATTCATCACCATAATTGTAGTTACAGTAAACTAAACAGGACTACTCACCAGTATGAGTTCATCCCCTTTAAGCTCTCTGCTCCAAAATGTCTTTGGGCCGCTCTCGCTTAGTAAGGTCTGTTTGCAGTAAATCTTGTTTTCATTTTCCCATGTGGCCAGACTCTGTAGAAGAGAAGACTTTATTGAGGTTTCTGATATTTACTGCCTGTTTTACTAAACAGCAAGTTAAAAGGAGAGTCCAAAAGATCAGTGTGGACTCTGTTAATCTTTTTGTCCCATTACTCCATGAGGGAGTATCACATGTTTCACTCCACTGTTTCTTTCTCTCAAAAGTATTATAAAATGTTCACCAGGCATTTACCATAAATTTAGTAAAATATAAGAGCCAGAGGGGATTTCACCTTATTTTACAGGCAAAGTTCAGCAAACTTATCAAGAGTAAAACTGCCTCGCCCCTTTTTGTTTTAGGTAATCTGTTTCTCTGGGGTAACATTTCAATGAAAGATGCTTTATGGGAGGCAAATACAGAATTCAGAGTTTGTGGGAGCTTCACCCAAACCAGAAACCAAAACAAACATCTTCTGTTTCATTTTTGACCATTATTTGTGTAATCTGTTGCCCACAAACCACCCAACTTTTGTAAAGTAGAGCATTTAGGTTCACCGGTTTTTACTTCAGAAAGAGCAAAGATGTTCTGGGAGAGTTGCAAAATCCCTGATTCAAATTACGCCTGAACATGTAGTCATCCCTTTAAGACTGTAACTGTGCACAGGAGCTCAACTTCCTGCTTTGCTTTAATCAAAATAAACGAATTCATGTACAGAAAGACAGTTGATAAACTCAGAGTATAATCTCACATACTTCTCTAGAGCTCTGTATAGCCTTATAGTTTAAAGTATCTTTACCTTACACTTTCTCCCGTCCACCGTCTCCTCATTAAACTCCTCTCCAATCAGGAAGTTGATCTCTGTGGTGCGGATCGTGGTCCAGGTCTTGATGTAAAAATGCTCGCCATTCTGCTTTATCTCCACATGGGGCTTGGATGCAGCAGCCACTGCCACCTTCCTCAGCATGGGATTCACACCTGAACACAGAAACAGATTTACTCGTGAGTGTGGATGTAGTATGGTAAACATATTGATATTTTATTGACCCTACCCTTACCCACCACTAACCAGGTCTGTCCCTTTGGTCAATGGCTCCTGTCAGAATGCTTTAATGCTCTACTACCCTGACTTAAACAAGAACAGACGACAGATGCTATTTTACAGTGAAGTGTACTTATGGCAGAAGTTTTAAAGTTGTTTGGGATGTATTTGGTTAAACCAGTGGTCGACAGACACAAATGCTGATATTTACAGAGCAGGTCAACTTAAGTTCAATAGAATGCCAATATCACATTATTCTTGTCTTTCGCATTTTGATCAATTCTAAAAACATATTCAATTACCTTATTAATCAATCCATCTCTAAGTTATACTGTTATATAACCACTCAACTACAATGTGTAACCAGACTTGAAGACCTTAGCCTTCCATAAGAGACTGTCAGCTGGTGGGTGTTGTTAGCTCTGCTAATGTCAGCCAGTTAATTAACATCCTTAACCAGCAGACTCTGTGATTCTTTGTTAAATGTGTTGAATTAATTGCGCTCAAATTTGGCTGTTTTCTTACCTTTAGTCCATTTGTCAGTTTAAATTTCTGTTGAAACATTTAAGAAATTAAATTCACAACATTTCTAAATATCAATTAATCAAATCTGATGATAGCAGATTTAAAACTAAACTGGTTGGGTATAAGACAGACTAAAATGAACACTGATTCATCTTTCTGATCATTAAAAACTAAAGAGATCAGGATAAAGATTGATCGTCTGATATGCAGTTTGAAAAAAAATGGTAAAAACTTGAACTCAGCAGTGAAACAAAGTTGCCCCTCCCTTCAGCACTACTTTATCAAAAGCCATGTAATGTCAGGGAAACACCCATGACAACCGACAAATTCAAACCAGTATGGTTAAATCACTGGCATGTAGAGTCAGAGAGTAAATTTACCTTCATGAGGGTCGCAGGTTTTTTAATGCAGTCATGGCTAGCTTTCTTTATGTTGGGTAGGACCAACAGTGTAGCCTGAAGAGTCTAAGATCTGAGACTTTATCGAAGTAGGGTAGCCTGAAGCCACTTTGAGTCCACTGATTTGGCACAAAGACCAGACTTCACGCTGGTGGTAAAGAGATATTTGCTTATATATTCTCATCTGACACTGAGTTTTCACCTCACATTTGTCTGTCAGCCTCTGGCGCCAAAAGGCTGGTAAGAAGATTCTTTATTTCAGCGGTGAATGCAGGAGGAATGCATCAAAGTAGAGATGTCTGTCACAGGCTGAATTGGACCACAGCGAGAACAAATCACCTCCAGGTTGTCAGGTGGAGATATTAAATTATACAGCAGTTTGTTTTCATATAAAAAAGGATCTTCCTCCAGCAGCTGTAACTGAGATGGTTATCAGCAGATGTTGCAAATATGGAGGCTGAAGTGACAAGGTGATGAGAGGGAGGAATGCTGCTGGTTTGTGCTTTGTTTGGCTTGCCTGTACGCCGTGATGGATTCTGTCCTCCAAACTGGTGGGAAAAACTATTAACCCTCTCAGCCGCACGGTTACAGAGCAAACAGTTAAAATGAGAGAGCACCTCTGATCTCTCTATTGTGTAGTCCGCCTCCTCCTTTAATTAAGACCAGTCATGGTCCAAGCATTTTTATGTGTGCATTTTTTTAATCTGGCAGCCACGCTGACTGTAACATGCAAAAGTACTAAAACTGCAGTAAAAACCTGTGCCGGGATAAAGCCATAATGAGACCAGCTGGCTTGTTGTAAATTAGATTTAAAAAAAACTAATTTAACTGCAGATTTTATGTGAATTCCTCTCCAGTACTGTGCTTACAATTATCATCTCCATCAGTTAGATTCATTTCAATTAATTTTGCAGCTGTTTTCTACCTGTTCAAATCATAAACTTTATTCCCCCGCATAGAAATTCAACCTTGTTAGGATCAGGTATGGTCATCCACAGTGCAGATGATAGACTCCTGTCAGGTTATCTGTATCTTCAGCTCACTCTCTTAAACAAATTTGGACCATAGAATAAAAAGGTCAGTCGTCCTTACCCAGAGCTTTGAGCAGCTCCTCAAAATTCTCGCTGCTCTTCATTTTCCAGGTGCCTTCAAAATTGGGCATTTTTCCTGCTGGTTTTTTGGTCGCGCGTCAGGCTGCGGCTCCTGTCGTCTGTCTCCTCCGCTCCCTTTCTTCAGACTCTTTCTCAGCTTTGACCAACCCCTTTCTCCTCCCTGTGATCAGTGATCCCACACAACAGACCAAACCCCCTTTATCTCAGCCGCCTCTCCCACCCATTTAATACTCAACACACACACACATAATACACACATTCAGCTTTGTGTCGTCTTAATAGTTCCTCAACAGAGATTTATTTTGATGACTGTGTCTCAGTTGGATAGACTTTAAGTCACATCTCATCACCTCAGTCATCTCAGCCGAGGTTAAGAAGGTCTTAACGCAGTATTTAATCCCCAAGCTTTCAGCTCTTTTTTTTGCCCTGATAGCTGCCAAATTGGATTGTCTCTTTCTGTACAACTTAAATAAACAGAACCACACCTCAGGATTTTCCAGTTAGTCATGCGACCATAATACTTGGTAGAGAGTACCTTTGAACACAGAGAACTAACTTTTAACTATCTCCCACGAAAAAAGGAAAAATATCAGAATAAATGACTTTTTAAAAGGAAGACAGCCCGGAAACACGCATGCCATGTCTCACTGATAATTACAGTAGTCTCTGAGATTAGTGCCTTCACAGTAAGACAACAAAGGTGGAATTTTGAAGGGAGAGAAATAAATGAGATGTAATATTAAAGCTACTGTGAGGAGTTTTCTGATGATTATGAAATACACTGAAATTTATAATGATGTTTTTCTATGACATGTAAAGCAAACAAGACTGACAGTTTCTATATTGAAAGTTTAAATGTCTTAAATTATCTAATCTATTATTTTATTTTTATAATTACAGTTTAAACAGTTCATAATAAATGACATATTTGACCACAGTCGGCAGGATGAGATATTTCTGACATGCAAGTTCAGAAAGTAAAAAATTTGATTAGTTGACACAAACTAAAAGTTCCTCACAGGAGCTTTAAGTTTGTCAACAAAAATACCCAGAGGTAACTCGCAAAAATAAGAGTGAAAAAACGCCATTCATCTTTAAACTATGACTTTTTTCAGCTCATAAATGTTTTTTTTTTAAAGTCTTATCAGTGGTTTATTTGTCTTAAGATTTTGGGCTATAACATCCCCTTTACATTTTGTCTTATATATATTTTTGACTTAATCTCACAGATTTGATTTAAAATCTCACGGTTGACTTTAAATTTTCACATGTTGAAGTTTTTATTGTAATAAATTTCTTTTAGACTTTATCTAACCAGGAGAAAACTTGTATGGGTTAAACTTCTCTTTTTCAAGAAAATCACAGTTCACAAAGTTTCTGACAGATAATGCACAGCACTGGCATAATTTTGACCGTAGTGTTGCAGCAGTATTGTGGATTTTTTTCATGATTATTTTGCAGAATAAGAACTTTGTTTCACATAATTTCTACTGTATTTCTCATATTTACATCTCCTGCTCTTCAGTCTAGCTATGAAGAATTCCCCTTTTTGAGAAATTCAACGCGAGAACCAAGTAAGTGTTGAAAACTTTCTTAAATTCTTCCAGTTACCTGAGATAGAAATCACACGACAAGGGGATCATTTGAAGAGAGGCATTAGAGAAATAGTAAGAGCAGCTAAAAACCCTGTCAGCTTGTTTTGTCGTTTGATTTCTGTGAAACTGATTTAAAGCTAAATTGTTGAATACCTCTTTACCCCTTGCTGCTTTCCAAATCTCTACATTTGGCCTCAGCTGTGAAGTAAATCACACAGCACGGTGTTTTTAATGCAGAGCTCCTGCAGTTCCTCTCTGTGCTTTGGCTGTCTCACCTATTATCCCCCCTTCACACTCACACACATCTGCCACTGTTTCATCCCATGAGAATGAGAGGCCCTTCCTCTAACCCCGGCCGAGTCAGATTTGTTCCTCTCTGACGGCTCCTCATCCGTCTTTTTGACAAAGTGCCTTCCAGACACGGCCGGATAATTAATGTAGAGAGCAGCACAGCGAGCACTCCGTCATCCCTCCATGAGGTGTCAGCTCAGAGACGCCCTCCCTGTTTGTTTCATTCATCAGGACATTTGTCTGCGCAAGGGTTTATTTCTAAAAGGGAAAGTGAACATTTATGAGGGAAATGTGTGAAAACTTGATCTGCTGCCATCTAACTTCTGGCTTTAAAGTTACTGTCAGTTTTTTAGCTGGAGTTGAAGCAGACAGTAATGACCAGTTGGGCCTTTTATGACCTGCAAAGGCAAGACGACAGCATTTATAAGTGCTATACTGCAAATTTATTTAAACAATACCGCTGTATTCATGATAAAAATGAGTAAGTTATGACAAAATATTCACTTTTTTCATTTTCAAAATTGGTCCTAAACATAAGACCACATAAGATTTAAACAGATTCAAGTGAGGGAAAACAAAAACTAAAGTTCAGTAAAATTAAGTAAAGCCCTGAAAAAAAATGCATTGTACTTGAATATTAACGCTCCTGTAAGTGGCTTTGGTTTGTGCTAATTTTGGTGCCACCTGTAGTCATTGCAGTCTTAGCTGATTTTGTCTTGCACATATCGTCAACCTATTAAAATAATGGCCTATGTCATTTTTTTGACAAAAATTAGTTTTTGGCCTAAATCATCTTTTGAGATGATTTAGGCCAAAAACTCATTTTTGTCAAAAAATGACCATTATTTTAATAGGGTGACATTATGTAATATAGAACTTGTTGACAAAAAAGTCAAATCTTGCTCTCTTTTAAACGCTGAATTAATATCTTTGCCACTGTAATAATAATAATAATAATGATAACTTTATTTATTTAGCACTTTTAAAAACAGAAGTTTACAAAGTGCTTTGACAACAGTTGCAAGCACAGAACATCAGCACATGAATATAAAAAACAAATAAAAACAAAAGCTCAGTTAAAAACAAGGCCTCTGAATCGAAGGCTAGCTTCATTTTATATAAGAAACCCAGGCAATACAAGAACCCTACAACATAAAATGAGACCATGAGGACTAAAATAAAAACATAAAATAGGTAAGAACGAGAATGAAATAGAAAAGGAGGGCAGAAAGCAGGAAACAGGATAGTAAGTATAAAAGAGGATATTAATAATGATATCATAATAAAATAATAATGATGGTAATATGAATGATAAAATGAAATTAAAAAAACAGTTGTACACTGTACAAGTGTAAATAAGAACTTAAAAGTCAGATTTATCACAAAACACAACATAAACATTTTTTGTAAGACAGACTAAAAATCAAATGTTGTATTTTTGAGTTAAATCATCTATCCACCATGATGAAACATGACCTTTTGAGTCAGAGAGCCACACCCTGTAAGATTTATGTGAACAACACCAAAACAAAATAGGTTTACCTCCCACACCTCTTTATTTGTGCAACAGAGTCCCAGAAGACGAACACAGTACTGACATGTCCACACAAATCCTCTTCCTGGTCTTATGAAATAGGAGTAAATCAAAAGTACATCATCTCCTCTATCACCACCTGTATTTTGATTAATAGCTAACCATACAAGCGCCACGTGTGGTCACTGTGATTTATCTGTAGTGATTTCATGAAGAGTCTCCAATATTAAGTCTTTCTAGTGAGTCTCTGATCAGACATTTTAACAAGTCAGTGCCAAAGAAGCATTTCAAGTTTGTCAGATATTTGAAGGTGATGAGTTGTTGTTCACATTTTTAAGGCTGAAATTTAATAGGGATATATGTACAAGTAGGAAATGTAAGGATCTCATCTGGATAGAAATAATGAAGAACCCAATGTGACTTTAAGCAGATCTAATACTTTATTGACCAGAATGAACCAGGACACACAGACACAAAGCATGGTTTGACACGATATAGTCTTTGTTGATGTCAATCAGGTCCAGACTTAGTGTAGAAGACTAATCTCCTCACTTCTTTACTGACAACATCATCTGACAACACTTTAAATGTAAAATCTGTGCAGAGAAATCAAACATAAAAAAGACCGCACTCAGTCTTATTACAGCAGCTGCTTTGATCCCTTCTCTCACACAGCTCATGGGTTGTTAAAACAAGAAAACAACTAAAAGGAGTGTGTGGGTGAATCACTGCATGAAAATGTGCTTCAGACACTTCACTTACAACAATGGAGCATGGATTTATGACGACTCCAGAGTTTATCCTGACCTGAGCAAATCTCTTTAATAAACTTTTCCCTCAATCAAGTTAAAACAACCCACTACACACCTCTTTTAATCCTCATTTACACTTTTATTTTTACATTATGATTAGTTTGATCTGACTCCTTGATTTATTTGTTAAAGAATCACCTCTCCTGAAAAACCCAAACAGAAATCATAAGTTACAAAAGCAACAAACTCCCTCAAAACCAACAGAAAGGACTAAACACACAAGAAGCAGAAACACATCAGTGGTCATAATCCCCAAAACATAAACAGGACAATAAATTAGGTACAACACATTCTTTTCAACATGTTATTCACACAATTTACAGGATACGTACAATCACACTTTGTGCTGAAGAGAATAAAACATTTACATTATTGCACTCAGGCATCAACCTCCCTCAGCTCACAGGTTTGAACTAATGGCAGGTACCTGTTCACCAAATCCACTCCTCTTTAACCAGCATCATTACTGCATTATCTTCTACAATGTCCGTCTGTCAGTTCACTCGTAAGAGACAGGAGTGTAGGTATTTGTAGCGTTATTCTACAGTTTTCAAGGAATTTGTTTTCTCTTGATTAAGTCTTTGCAGGTTACTAGACATCGAACTGAACACAAACACAGAGGCTGCCACGATGCACAGATACTATAACCTACTGTTCTTCTCACGCACCTGTAGCAATAAAAAAGAAAGAGAGCTAATGGTTTGTGTTGATAACACTCTGAAGGCAGAAGTTTTAAAAAGGCAGAAAAAAAAGAAACTGCACAACAGACTCAGGTAAGATTTCTTTACATGATACCCATCTAGCCTTCAATTCTTGAGGTTAAAGTCTGTCACCAATCAGTCAAACTTGACTCCACTGCATAGCTGCTTGAACATTATTATGGGGAAGACATTTAAAGGCAGAATGAGTAGATTTGTCAGTTGTATGAATATTTTTTCTTCTTCCTGGTAGGACTGGTAACAAAGAGGAGCTGCTAAAGCTCTCCACTCAGGCGAGACTGATTTTAGTGTCTGCCAAAGAACAGAGCTCCAAAGAGAAAGGAGGCCAAGGAGTGAGAGCAAGGGCACATTACATGAAAAGAAAAGACTCTACTCTGTTTGCTCTGTGGTGTTTTCCTGAAATGATTTGAAATTGTTTGCTGAAGGCATATTTTCTCAGAGGTTTTACCGTATCTGAAGCAATAATCGCAGATACCCAGAGGTCCTAAAAATATATCTTTTCTATGTTTTATTGAGGATGAAGATCTCTGGAGTCAGAGTGAGGGACAGAGAGGCAGAGGTCGAGGTCTCTGTTCACACACCTCTGATGGTTTACAAGTGATGACTCAGATTAATAAGTTTTTGATTTTCCCCCTCAGAATCACTCATCTGCCTTTCATTTTTTTAAACTTTATCTTACTTGGTTCTTTGGAGATTTGTCAGCTTATCTGTCTCAGCGTTACAACATCCCACTCACAATTCTTAAACGCACTAAAAATGCAACACAAAGCTGATAAGAGGCCACACAAACAAACTATGAAGCTGCATCTTGTGTGAATGTTGACGGCTGTGTATGTAATCTAAAACTAATATATTATCCATATGTAAAGGTTAAAGTCTTACACATAGGTGATGTTTGTAAAAGATGAATCTACTTTGTTCCCTGGGCTGTCATTAAAAATATACTTCTCTCTCACCCACTGCATTCACAGAAAATCTAACTTGAGGGCTAAAATGGCACATGGTCCGATAATCTCCATCCAGGTAACTTCTACCAGTGTCTGGAGTCCACCAACTCGGGTCTCAAACTCAGTTTTTTCAACGTCTCGTAGCCGACCACCATGACGATGGCAGTAGGTGTGGAAGAAATGATGCGAGCGGACAGTCCTTTGGTTAGTCCCCACATGCCCTCTTCTCGGATCAGCTGCCTGAATGTCTCAATGATTGAACTCCTCCCTTCAACCTACACAAAAACAAACACACAGAACATGTTGTGTTGTTGTTTGTAGCCAAAACTTAAAATCACAACTAAACACAAAAGGTGAAATTTATTTCTTGAGCACTTTTAGATGCATAAGTATAATCCTGACATGGACTTGTCACAAAAGCTGTTTTCAGTTAGTTAAACAGTAACACAGATAATCATCATTTTGGGTGACACACATTTTACACTGCCAGCTTCCTCCAAATTTAACACAACAGCCCCAAAATAACCCTGCAGTGTTTGTTTTTAGATCCTCAGGAAATGAGAGATACCTGTACTCGGGCTCTGACCACATCCATGGGGTTGGTGACAGTTGAGGCAGTGGCAGCAGCCAGAGGTCCAGCTGTGGCTTGTAGGATCAGATGAGGGCAGTCACTTGGAGCCAGATTAGAGAGCTGCTCTGTAGAACAGTACACAAACAGAAAATTAACCTAAAGGTGGTGTTTTTTTTGCTTGAGGAGCTTAAAATGCACAGCTACACATTTATGACTTTGCATAAAAAAACAAGGAAAGTTAGTTCTAAAGAACTAAATATAGTTTGGTAAGCACAAGATCCAGCTTCTTACCAGCATAGAAATGATAGAAAGGCCACCAGACAGCACTGTTTGGGATGTAAGTGAGTAAAGAAGCCACATATCCCCTGTAGAAACCCCTGAAACCATCAGCAGCAAAAATCTGCGACACAATGTTCCTGGTTTGGCCAAACACTTTTTTGGGTTTTCCTTTCTCTGAGTTAGAATTCAGCCGAAAGCGGGTGAGGTGCTCCCCTTGACCCTGCATCATCAGCTGCTGAGAGATAACATCTATGGGAACAGTGATGCTCTGAGCAACCAGCGAAGCCGAGCCGCCCGCCACCAGAGACTTCACCGTATTGTCCTTGGAGTACTGGGAGACGTACTTCCTCACTAGCTCGTATGTGGTTATGTAAGCCTGGCCTGAGATCAGTGTGAAGGTGTTAACCATGAAGCCGCGATAAAGTCCTCGAACGCCCTCCGTCCGCAGAATCTTGAAGAAGGCATCGAAAGTACCGCTGTACAGCGATTTCCCCCGCTGCACTTGTAGCCGTGTTCTTATGAGTGTGGCCGGATAGACGGTGGCCCGAATGGTCATCGTCATGAACACCCCAAAAGAATAGAACTTCCTTTTATCGAGGTCCTCCCACTCGATGATCTGGATGTTCCTTTTCTGCTGCATCCTGTCAGCTGTAGCTGCCCCGTCATCAGAATGATCCCTGCCTGATAGCAGAAAAACAGGGAGGTTAAGTTTTACACAGGAGTAAACAACAGCTTTTAACAGGAGGTGATGTTAGGCTGTCTGTGTCAGCATATGTAACAGTAACAGCCTATTTAAACAGACTGAAACAGACTGTCAGCCAGGCATCAAACCAGAACTGGAAACACGACCACATCAATCCTATTTTTGCGTTTTGAGCTACTACTTTTAAAGGGATATTCCGGTGTAAAATTAATTTAGGGTCAAACACACCCTAACACAGAGTTAGACACCCCCTCGAGATTTTTTTAGCAGAGACCCCGGACCAGTCCATTGCGGACTAGTGGGGTGACGCAGCTCAACATAGAGGGAATCTTGTACTAAATCCTGTAGGGACTGGAAATCAATCCTGAAACCAGTGTGACGAGGACCATAGCTGCTGTACCTGAGCTTCCTGTTCTACTGACTGAGCTAAACTCCTTCTTTCTTAACTTAAATCCCTCTAACAGCACAGACATTTAAAATGATCACTTATATAGGAATTATTTATAGAGTTAATACGACAGATAATTTTAATGATTTCCTGAATACATATTTCATGTTCTACATCATATTTGCAGCAAACTGCAGCTTTTTCTTCCTCTTAAAAGACCAATAAATGGAGTTCAGACCCTCTAAACTCATAAACACCTGAGCTCACAGGTTACAGGAGAGTGGAGTTTCTGCCCTCTGACCCCTTGTGTGGACTTTTACTTCTCCTCTATCTAAGACATTTATCCCTGACTATCTAAGTGGACAGTTCAAAGGTCATACTCACCTAAGGCAGACTGGATTTGTTAATCTATAGCCTTGGTAAGAGCTGATCGATCATCTGTTAATTGATCATCTGTATCCCAAACCCAGTCGGCTGCTGATAGAGGCCGTCAGAGGACACCTTGATCCCACAGCAGAGTGAAACCATTCAACAACGCCCTGAAAGGACCGTGTGTTGGTTAAAAACCCACATGAGTCCCAGCAAAATGAGCTGGACTCTGATATGACCCGGTATTGATCAGAACTAAGGTCCAATATCAGCTGTAGTCTTGGTTTGGTTCAGGCTTTAGCCTTGTTAGCATCCATCATTAGCAAGCACTCACCTCTTCGGACAGATTGTTATTTAATATCCATCTCCCTCGTGTCGAAACGTCTTTTAAATCCCTGTAATGGTCCGGCTAATTTATTATAAATGTCGTCATTCAAGGACTTTCAGCTAACACGGTTGTACCGACTACAGAGTTAGCACCTGCCAGGCTAGTCAACTAGCTAAGTGTGCAACTCCTTCCTGTTCCCATTCAAACGCCATGCCATTGAAGCAGCCAATCACAAGGGAGCTTTTTCTTCTTCGTTTGTATTAAAAAGATATTCAACACTATCAACCCAACGATAACCTCACTTGTAAAAGTTTAGATGGAAATTTGATCAAATTCAGGATTGATCTCTTTCCAGAGGTAAGTCACTAAAGAATTATTACTACCCAGGTCTCTCTACGTCCCACCCTAAGCCTGTGTAAAGATTAAAAAGCCTAATTTCTTACATTGTTTTCTTGTTATAGTCAAGATAACACAGCATCCTCCCTATTTTGTGTCATACCGCCTTTCACAGAACCAATGCATAGGTGTCACGCAGTTTTATTGCATCATTTACTCCTATATTTCACTGCAATAAAGGAGAAAATATGCGTTAGTATATTATACTTTTGTTAATTTCTTGATTTATTCTACTTAAACTTAAGCAGTATACTATCCTGTTTGACTTTCATAACTTTACGACGTTTCCACAATTTATACTTGGTTTTGACTCGACCTATTGTTATTCCAAGCCCAAAATATCGAAAAAATGATACATATTTCATTCTGTTATGATAATGAGCTACTTAAAAGTGCAGTCAGTCTTGATTTGCTTTTATTAAAGATTAAATCAACCCGTGAAGTCCTTGTAACGCTAGTGGTGAAGCACTAAGTCCTCTCCATCTGTTTCATGGGCTTTAATGTTAGAGAATTTATTTAGTCCTCCTGCCGACAGGGGGCGCTGCTCAGCGGTTACTTCAGTATCCCGGTGTGTGTCTGTGTGTGTGTTGAGGAAGCGTCAAACTGAAAGTGTTGGACACCTTAGCCTCTGGACAAGTAAGCAAAGTAAGTTCCTCTTGCGCTAAGTTATATCCTAATATTTTATTATAAACACCAATACTGTTCTGTTACGACAGTTTAAGAGGATACCTTCAGTTCTTTTGGTTTAAAGCCAGCTAACTATCTTTCTTCGTGGTGAACAGGTCAGCTAGCATGCTAACAAACTAGCATGTTCATTTATTGCAGATTCATTCAGCTCTGTCTGCTGATCTTAATGCTGTAAAACACAAAGGAAACGGACTCTTGGCGATTTATACTGTTAATAGGTGTGAAAATGTTCAGAAATTGACCTTTGGAATTTAGTTTTACAATTTATGCACAGTTTTGGGATATTGATTGTCTTTTATGTGAAGTAAAGATAATACAGACCTTTACCTCTGTTTGACTTCAGATGTTTGATTCATGATGTTTCACCTGTTTGTTTTTTACAGGACAGATCCAGTGGAGTGAAAAATGGTATGTGATCTATCTCATGCATGTTTATCTTATATCACTGCGTGTTTATATTTGTCCTTATTCTGATTATTCTTTCCTCTCTCTTTGTGGTTCAGTCTCGACGGTATGATTCCCGGACAACAATATTCTCTCCTGAGGGTAAGATCCACCTCTGTTAGACCACTGGTGACCTATGTTGAAAGAAATTACCATCCATTTATAATCCCAAATGTCCAGTTTTCTTCTCTTTGCTTTGTTATAAACTCCTGATATGTCCTGTGTGGTAGTAAACCATGAGTTAGATTTTAAAGTTTTGTTTGTTTATCTTTTGAGGTTAATGCTTTTTGAAAAATTGAGACAAAATTATCTTATTTGCGCCTTAAGTTCTGTAGTACTTCAATAATGGATGCTGGTGTGATTCCCAGCCACGGTCCTTTGCCCAATGGCTTTTCTCACGCTCCACAGTTACTCTCTCAAGAGAGTTCCTAACTAAAATAGGTAAAAATTTCCTCAAATCAGAGCTTACAAAATCCCCCAGATTTTATTCATTTGTCCAATAACTTGCACAACTGCTCTATGGTCTCTCTTTATTCAGCCAGTTCGTTCAGATATATGTCCCTTAGAGTTGTCATTGCTGCTTGCATAAAATGATTCATATAACATTTTAGGTGTGGGTATTGGCAAGGACCTCACAGTACGATGCGTATCATGATACATGTGTTACGATTCAATATGATATGATATAATACAGTATTGCTCATGATACAAGACACATCACAATATAGTAATAATATTTCATGGTATTTAATATTGTTTATCAGTCAAAAACACGAGTTGCTGTAAATGAGGATATTGATCCAAGGACAAACTTAGTCAAAACTTTGTTTCAAACAATAAATACCATTTTGTTTGACTGCATAAGTGCTACTTATGCCAATTTGAAAAAAAAAATGATACTTGGTAAATGTGACGATAAGATTTATCGCCAGACAAAATATTGCGATACTATGCTGCATCGATTTTTTTCTCCTAGCCCCATTATCTTTGCTGCTGCTGCATTTTACAGGACGCCTGTATCAGGTGGAGTACGCCATGGAAGCAATTGGTCATGCTGGAACATGTCTGGGGATTCTTGCTAATGATGGAGTGCTGTTAGCAGCAGAGAGACGCAACATCCACAAACTACTCGACGAGGTTTTCTTCTCTGAGAAAATCTACAAACTCAATGAGTGAGTGAAATAAAACTGTTTCTTTTTCAGCAAGTGCATAATTCTTATCATACAGACCGTAGAAGCCTCTCCTTTTTACTGTGTGTTCATTCTTGTGTGTTAATTTCTATTTCAGTGACTTGGCTTGCAGTGTTGCTGGAATCACATCAGATGCAAATGTTCTCACAAATGAGCTGCGGCTTATTGCACAGAGGTGAGTTTCAGATACAAGCGCCTCCAAATGAGGCTGTGGATATTTGAAATTGTTTTTTATTTGAATATATAAATGAGCAAACCAAAAATTTTTCTTCAGATATTTGTTGCAGTACCAGGAGCCGATACCCTGCGAGCAGTTGGTGACAGCTTTGTGTGATATCAAACAGGCATACACACAGTTTGGAGGTATGATGTTTAACTGTCTCCTTGTCAAGATTATAATTCCCCTGCTGGTAATGGATTCAAACAGGCACCAATGTTTCTCTTGAGAAAGCAATGGGAGTGTTCTTTCCTTTTGTATAAACACACAGTGGCATTTTGTAACCGCTTTGTGGTTTATGTAAACAGGCAAGAGACCGTTTGGTGTTTCTCTGCTCTACATGGGCTGGGACAAACACTATGGCTTCCAGTTGTACCAGAGTGACCCCAGTGGCAACTACGGAGGCTGGAAGGCAACCTGCATCGGCAACAACAGCACTGTAAGTCTGAAAGGATGCATATACAGCGAATCAGTGAGATGACTTTAACATGACTCCAATTAGTATTATTGGCTGTTTTGCACTTGTGGTTTGGATCTGCTGATAATGTTGCTGTCTGTATTTATTTTATTTTATTACAATGCAACACTTGCGCCAGTAGAGTCAGTCTAGTGCAAAATTTTAGATATCTGAGCTATTTTCAGTTAAATTTAGAGGTTGCAATAATAAATTATCTATCATGGATATTCGTCCATATCATCTTCAGCTGTGGGGTGTTTCATGTGTTGACTTGTTTCACTCCAGGCTGCAGTGTCCATGTTGAAGCAGGACTACAAAGAGGGAGAGATGACTCTGTCGTCTGCTTTAGCTTTGGCTGTCAAAGTCCTCAACAAAACAATGGATGTCAGCAAGCTCTCAGCAGAGAAAGGTGAGGTTCAGAAATGCTTCTACAGTATTGTTATTGGTTTACTGCAAAATAAAAACATGAGTTTGTATTGTTTGTCCATTTACTAAAATACACAAACTCAAACTTCACTCTCAAACTTTCAAACGTAGAAAATTCTCCTTTTACAGTAGACATTTAAGTTGAATTTACTACAACAGTTATTGTGGATAATGTTTTTTTAACTACCTTTTTGCAAAAGATCTTTTAAGTCCATCTATACTATTAAATAACAAAGTTTTACATTTTCTTCACTGCTTTAGTGGAAATTGCCACCCTGACAAGAGAGGAGGGGAAAACAAGAATCAAAGTGCTGAAACTGAAAGAAGTAGAGGAGCTCATTAAGAAGCACGAAGCGGAGGAGGCCAAAGCTGAGAAAGAAAAAAAGGAGAAGGAGCAGAAGGAAAAGGACAAATAAACACAGTGACATTTTCTTCCATGTATTCTTTTGTATTTTACATTAAAAGTCAGAATCTATTGACATGTCATGGCTGAGACTTTTTAATAAATTTTTGAAGGACAAAATATATATATAAAAAAATTTGCTATATCTGAAATTTGCTAAATTTATCTGAGAAATATATTTTCCCCAAACAGTTGTTTGAGTCTTTAACTGATAATTGATGGTAAAGCTGCTTTTTTGCCTCCTAATATTTTTATTGTACTCTTTAAAATCAAACACAAATAACTTCAGAAAATAAAGACACAATGGCTACATAAACTGAACTTCTCACACAGATTCCTGACAAGGCAACATAACAGCTGAGTTATTGCAGCTCAAATGTCAAAACAGTCGACAGTGAAGCAGCTCTAAAAATACCACTCAGTTACACTTCTGCTCAGGAAGAGCAAACATGGAGATGACGACGGGCAAATGAAAAAATAAATATGGAACCATCCTTTCACCTCAAAATATTAGAAAACCTGCATTTTAGATTTGGTTTGCAGCTGGACTGAAGCTTCATTTTTGCCACATGGTGGCGCTATTACTCCAGTGGATGCAGATTTGTGTTGCTCTAACTCTTGAAGAGCCAATGTTTCCAGTTACATAACTGCTTAACATAAAAGAATAAGTGCCAACTCTGATCATTATTTTTCTGTGTTGAAAGCCTTTTTTTATTTTATTGGGTTTAAGTAATATAATTTTCTGAGATACTGAATTTGGGGTTTTTGTCAGCTATAGGTTACAATCATCAAAATGAAAAGAAATACACACTTGAGATTTATCAGTTGGTGCATAATGAATCTATATAACATATGAGTTTCACTTTTTGAACTGAATTACTAAAATAAATTAACTTTTTATATTATTTTTATATATTTTAAATACTTGAGATGCACCTGTATTACAGGCCAAATGTGCAGCTCACTTCTGATTCCCATTGAGTGTATTTCCATGTACTCACCACTTGATGGGGATGCTGTTCACTGTTGGTGTTTTAGGATGCTCTTATGTTACCATCAGAGAAAGTAAGACAGCGTGCATGTAGCATCAAAGGTATTTTATTGTCAAGCCATGTACAGCTAGACCCAATGACTTCAAAAAATTCAACAATATTCTCAGTATTTGGTTTAGATGGTAACAAAAGAGCTGTTTACTGAACAAAAGTATTCACTGCAGAAAGACACAGTTTATCTGCTGTATTTTTCAACTGAAAGCTGCTGTGAGGGGATTGTAGCTGTTCATTAAACAGGCTGAAATTACTTCATACTAACTCTTCTACATGACATCAGAAGGAAAGATGACAGAGTAAAGGCAGGTTATAAGTGTGTCGTCTTTTTTAATATGTTTGTCTCTGCTGCTGCTGGGTAGGTTTCAGATGCAGCTAAGAACAACTGTCTATCATGACCGAACAGTTCCTCACAGGAGCTTTTAAAAACTGTTTGGTTAGATGCTGCAGGCTCACACAGATCACGTCCAGTGTGTAATTGTATGTTTATAATTTCACAGAGGATGATCAGTATTTTTGTATTTTCAAACACTGGAGCTGTGTTTGGGGTCTTGATTTAAAATATCTGCTCAGTTTTGTTGTCTCAGAGTTCAGCTGGTGAATGTGGCACAGTCTGTGTAAAATGAAGACTGGGACCTCAGACAGAGTGTAGGTGGTCAGAGATGGACTGAAACCATCTGTTGTTAGTGCTGTAGTGCACATCCTGCAGTGACACAGTGCCTTTATGGTGGTACTTATAAAATGTTGTGTGTCATTCTGAGGCTGATCAGGAATATACATTGTACTCAGTTCGAGTACTAGCTGACCAAATTTCTGGACTGAAATGGAAAACAACCCAACTTCAGCTGTGTCTGCAGGTCTAGGGAACTTGCAATTTGAATAGCTATTGGTTTGCTTCTTAATATGACTCCATAGCTTCTTTCAAAGAGTATGAATTTATATCACTGACCTTTAAACAGAGGTGCTCATGTTTTCTTTACTTTCAGTGAATTAGTCATATAAATTGTGGATGATTTGGATCAGGGAGTCTAAAATCAATGCTAGTTATGATCCAAATTACTTCATATATTTTAACATTGCTATATGTATCCCAACTTTTATTTGAAGCTACTTTTTAAGTTTTTTAATGGTAATGAAATAGTGGGGTGCCTCTTTGTAACCCCCCAAAAACAAACAAGACCTTTGACGTTAAGATTTAATCTTTCTAGATTATCTTTAATGCCTGTAAACGTTGCTGGGTCAGGGGTAGGTGTCAGAGGAGGTGATTAACAGCAGCCTCAACAGCCTTTGTTTACATTTTTCAGAGCAAACACTCTCAAAGAGTGATAAGGAGCAGACTACAGGAGGGGGAAAAACTACTTAGATAAAGGACAAGACCAGCAACGAGATAAGACATACCACTTTGTCCACAGGGGGCGCCAGAATCACATAATCTAACACTTCCTTATAGGAGCTTTATTCTATTCAACTTCATTTATGATTACATTTTCAGATTTTTCCTTGTTTATGTATGGGTAAGTCATGCGAGTTTCAGGTCATTTAAAATGAATTGACTTTCATTTTAGTTTATACATATATATATATATATATATATATATATATATATATATATATACATGTGTGTGTGTGTGTGTGTGTGTGTGTTCCTTCATTAGTTCCATAATCAAAAGCTCTTGTGTGGACCGTACAGCGTGAGTTGATTGTGGATAAAAAAGAAAGTCTTATTTAATGTTCTGCCAGTTTTGTGCTTTGCTATATAGATGTGTTTTGATAACACAAATCTCAACCTGCCTTCTTTCACCAGTTAAATACACTCATTATAATTAACTTCTCTGTAGCAGCAGAATCAGACATAAAAAATGACAATGCAGAAATGCTCAGTGATGGTGTTGATGCGAAAGGAACTTCTTTCTTTCTATTGATTCCTTTTTTCAAACATTTTCTCTAGTTATTGTCACTTTAAGTTTCTCTTCAGGTTTTTTAATCAGCTGTACATCCTCCAGCTTCTGTTTCAACCTTCTTACATTTCTTAAACGATATAACCTCCTTCACTGTATACATAACTTTTCATAACAACGGGGTGACAATCTGGACCTGACTTCTGGTAGCAGACTAACTTGTCTCCCTTCTTATAAGCTCACAGTAGAATAAAAATCCTTCCCTGCCAAGTTTCTGTTCGCAGACTGTGTAAGTGGCGTGCCCCATTAGAGATTGAGTTATTTGAGTCACATCCAAGATAAGAGAGCTGGCCGGCCTCCCGAAGTGAAAACTTCTTTTCATTTGACGTCAATCTTTCGCTCAGGATCTTGCATGGACTTAAACTTGTAAATCAACACGGCTGATTCATTTAAAGGGCAGCCGTGGTGAGGTCATGGTGTTCACATGAGCTCGCTCTGTGTTGAGTAGGAGGATCTTGGCATCTGAATGACTGGAGCCGATAGCAGACCTCCTCTCCTGAGACTCAGATGTCCAGTTCAGTGAATCCTCCTTTTTCGTGTTTAATGTCTGTGTTCAAAACTTTATGCACCTCTGAACTAAAGACTTCCCTTTGAGGATCTCTGAGGCTTCTGCTGGCTCACTTTTCATGTCCCTATAGAAGAGCACAATCGTATTAGGAGGACTCTGGATTAGAGGCCCACTGTCCGCTGTGATGAAGCAGATAGGGAGAGCAAGGCGATCTGCAGCAGTGTAAACACAGCCCCAGAAAAGCACAGGAATGTCTCTGCAGTGGGAGCTGGAGTACGAGGTCAGATGGAGGCCAAGGCAGGTGGTATACATCAGAACACAGGATGACATCTCAGCATTAACTTATCCAAACACGAGGCAGCCGGTATGCTGTCCTGGAGGAGGAGCAGGAGGAGGAGATAGAGGAGGAAGGAAGAGAGAAAGGAGAGAAAAGTGGGGGATGAAACAAACAGGAACGAGGGGGAGTGTCCCTTCAACACAATCAACGTGCCATCTCTTTCTCTGTCCCGGAGGAGAAAACAGCAGTAAGCAAACAAGGCAAAACATGACATGAGACTTGATGCAGTTCAAAGCCCCTGAGCCTGATCCAGTTACTGAACCTGAGAGTTTAACCACAAATCACCAGCTGCAAACCCGAGACGCTTTAAAGAGCAGGAGATAACTGATTTACAAATCTGTTCTGTTTCAAGAAACTCTGAAGAGATGGCTTTCATGTTGACATATACTACTGCTTAATGTGTTTATAAAGCCTGTGCATGTTATTCTAATGATACAGACCTCAGCTAGTCTCAGACATTTGACTGAAACCTCCTCTTCTCATCATTTCCTGCCTTTGTATTTGTCTTCCAGCGTACTATTAAGAATCAAACATGATTTCAAGGTCCAATTACTGCTATTTTTACTTTTCTTTTTAGTGTAATATATAGGAATAGCTGACAGTGTAGAGGACAGTGTATTTGTGGCAAACTTTGCACAAGAAAGACAGATAGTTCCTCAAAACCATATGAATGAATCAATGAACTCTAACATGTTGATAAAAAAGCAGGTCCAGGAAAAAACTATTTAGATGCAGCTCAGCAAATAAGATTGCTACTGCTTATCCGTTTACTTTCACATAGGCTTGTCAAGCAATTAATGTCCCCTGGACATACATGGTTTCTTAAAAAAAAACAAAAAAAAACCAACCTGAATTTAACATTACAATGTAACATGCTATCCTACATAAAAAGGCAGGTGGAAGTAAACATCAGACTGTTTTATTCAAAGAATAAAAATGTTAAATCAAGTTCAGATTACTTTATTAGCATGAACAATCAATGTTGTTATTTCCAAAGCAGTTAAACTGATTTTACTTCTTTATCTTACATAAAAAAATCCTTATTACCCACCGAATTTCAACAGATAATCACAACCAATTACAATTTGAATTGTTTTGAAATTTCCACATTTCGCAAACATTTTTGGATTTCATATGAATTCATATTAAAATCATGAATAGACTGTGTTTTCATAGTGCTTTCTCCAGTCTTCTGAGTGTGACCGCTCAAAACACATTACAGTCACCCA